TCACTGACACCCCATCACTATTCCTCAAAGCTGTAATCCCCCTCCTCTTACCCTTTGTCCTTCTAGCTACCAACAAATGCCCAAAATTCTTTCCTATTTAAGAAATCTTTAAATTCTTCCATCTGACATTCGCAGATCTTGATCAGCAACTGGACTAAACTCATGCCCTGATGAATTTCTATGTACAGTCGAAGATGAAATTGAGACTCTTGATGTTGGTAAGTCCTCAGGTCCTGATGGATATCTGCTAGAATGCTTAAACCCGTGGCTAGAAGCATCGCACCTTCGGTTGCAAAACTTATAAATCAATCCATTCAATCTGGTTGCTTCCCTGTGTTCTGGAAAATGTCTAACATTGTACCTATACCGAAGCCAGGAGATAATGCAAACTACAGACCTATCTCTCTCTTATCTATCTTAAGCAAACTGCTAGAGAAGCATGTCCAACACCTGTTGATGGACCACATAATGGAGAAAAACATAATATCTGAGTCACAGTGGGGGTTCCTTTCTGGGAGATCAACTACCTCAGCTCTGCTTTCTGTCACTGATAGCTGGCATAAACACTTAGAAGCAGGTCAGGAGGTCTGTGCCATTTTTCTAGACCTCCAAACAGCATTTGATTCTGTTCCTCATCGTTGTCTTTTGTCAGTCCTACAACAGATGGATGTCCACCCCATTCTACTGAGATGGATATGTAGCTACCTAACCAATCGAATCCAAAAAGCTGTGATCAATGGAGATTCCTCATCTGACATTCATGCGATCTCTGGAGTTCCCCAGGGTTCAGTCCTGGGGCCACTACTCTTCCTGTTGTATGTAAATGGTGCTACTGATTTGGTATTTTCACCTGGGTCTAAAATTACACTCTATGCTGATGACATTCTACTCTTCAAGCCAATAAATGATGCTATGGACTTCGTGCTACTACAGAGAGATGTAAACTCCTTGTTACAGTGGTCAGCCAGCAGACTTCAACCCCAAAAAATGCAAATTTATGATTGTGACAAGGAAAAGAAATACAATACATCCCCCTGCTCTGTTTCTTAATGGATAGGCTATCACTAGAGTATTTCACTACACATACCTTGGTGTTACTTTAACATATGATCTCTCCTGGAGTAAGCACATCCATGGTTTATGTAGCTACCAGAGCTAAGAAAATGCTTGGTCTTCTGTACAGAACATTCTACCTTCACACATCGTCTACAAATCTTCTGCAGCTGTATATTATATCCTTATTTACTTAAAGACATTGAGAAACTTGATAAAGTTCAGAAATTTGCTTTAAGACTTTGTGTGTAAAGTGTAAAACAATGGGACCTAGATTACACTTCCCTGTTGTTTATCTGCAATCTCCCGTCACTCGCCATTCGTCGTAAGTATATCAATCTTTGCACTATGTAATTGTAAATCACCTGATGGATTTCCCCCCAAATGTGTTTTTGCCAAGAGCCTCTTCTCTTCAGTCTACATACTGCTGTCTATTTTTACAACCTTTCTCCCGTACAAACTCGTATCTTTTCTCATTTATCTGCTTACATTGGAACAAGTTACCTCTTGATTTAAGATCATCTGACACTCTCCCATCTTTCAAATCATCCTTGAAGGAATTGCTGAATATTAATAATTTTCATACACCATGTATTAGCTTTTGGCTATATATTGTGTCACTAAACTCACCTCTGACCCAAGTATTATATAGAATGAAGGGCTGTATACACTTGGAGGCCGAATGTCAAGCAGGTTAGCTACACCCTTGGCCCCTTCCTCTCTACCCAACTGTCTCCCAGAGTATAACATAGCTACGGGGAGAAATGAAAGTGCAAACCCTCGGCGAACTGCGCATGCTGCGCTGATGGAGTTTACTCGTGGTCTCCCTGCTCCCGCTAGTAGCTTGCGGAGAGTCTGACACGGGCTAGCTACAGTAGTAGATAGCATGCGGGAGTCGATACATGCCGTTCGTTGTGGCTTCCTGAGACCCCAAGGTACACAGAGCGAGCGGAACAGGTCGCGGTGAGCAATGCGATTATGGCTTTTTCGCTTGTTTTCACGGCATATCTCTCGAACGCAGTCGTTTCAGGAAAATCCCCCTTTTATTTTTCGGCTCGCGTAGTTCTGAAGCCGCTACTTACTAGCGGTAGATCACGCATACAAATAGCCCAGCCCATCAATTAGCCATGCGCAGTTCGCCGAGGGTTTGCATTTTTGTGCTTTTCATTCACTCAGTGACTTATGTTTATGATGCTATCCACTTGAAAATTGAAACGAACAACAACTTGCTTGGACAGGTGTGTACTAGCTACATGTGTAGCTAATGCTGCTAACAGGTGAATTATTGGTGTCTTCAGTCACATGGCTAGAGTAGAATCAGTAGCTAGCTACCAGGTGAAATGAAGAGACCCACCCTGTCTAAACAGGTGTGTGCTCCACAGGGGTTGTTAGCTTGACAACATCAACCAGGCACCCAGGGGTTTTTATTGGATGATGTTCTGCATCAACCTAAAGCCCAATTCCTTCTTCAGTGGCTCAGCTGGGACAAGAGAGCAAGATGATAATAAATCACATGCGTTCCTAGTACAAAATCAAGCAGAATCACCTTATCTTGACAGTGTTGGCAGAACTTGACATAACTTTGACTTTTAGTTTAGCACAACGTTAATTGACATAATATATGGCAAAACTGTTTCCTGGTTCGATCCTGGTCTATGGGATAGCTAGTGTGTTCGCTGACTGGCCACATTGTATATACTCTTGAGCATACCAAACCTAACAACCACCAGCTTCATTGTTGGTCTTAGTTGTTATACTGAAAATGCCTCTTTTGAACATGTGACGTGTATGGATCAATAACATGGTAGTCCAAGAATCCCAGCTGTGTTTAAAATGGTTGAGGAAATTTAAAACAACAACATCCTTTTTTTAGCTATGTAGCTAAGCTACCTCAAACTGATACGTGATGAAAGTAATAAGCTAACCCATACAGTAAGAGATAGAGAAAAATAGAGAAAGAAACAGTGCCTATTCGGGATGTCTTCGCCCTTGGATCACACGAGTGTGCTCCTCGTAATCTTCTTGTCTACAACAACAGGTCTAATGCCAGCAGAAGGAAACAGTGTGAGCTGTCCTACGTGGTTCTCCTTCAACAACGACACTCAGGAGTGTGAGTGTGGGGGGCTCGAACCATGGGGGATCCGCTGCAATCAACAGGAAATGAAATTTGAAGTTGCCAACGGCTACTGCGTTTCGTACCTCAGTGGTCTATACTATGCTGGAGATTGTTACTACGTGCACAAGGGGAACTTTACCGACAGAGTGTTCTCTGTGATGCCAGATGACCCAGACAAATTGAATGACGTAATGTGTGGTTCTTACAACAGAAAAGGTTTGCTTTGTGGAGAGTGTATTGATGGCTATGGTCCGGCAGTTTACTTGTTTGATAATTTGTGTGTTGACTGTTCAAAGCTCTCAGTTGCATATGCTGCAATTTTGTATCTCTTACTGGAGTTCGTCCCAATTTTTCTGTTCTTTATCTTTGTAATGGTTTTCCATGTGAATATCACAACCGGTCCCTTGCTAGGTTACGTATTCTTCTGTCAGGTGTATGTGCTTAGCATACAGTCCAAGAATGTCTACGTAGCCTCTAGCGTTCTATCGCATGTATCATTTCCACTTCGGTTCCTAGTATACAGCTCACTAGCACTATCTGGTGTATGGAGCCTTAAATTTTCTTGGATATTCACCCCACCATTTTGTATCAGTCGTCATCTGACTGGGATTCACACACAACTACTTGAGTTGGTTCCACCAATCATCACTCTTTTCATCCTAGCTGGCACTGGCGTACTCATAGATCTCCACAAAAGAAACTGTAGCCCCGTTGTCAAAGGCTGGAGGGTTATCGGATGTTGCCTCAAAAAGATCAGTCTGAAACCAGTTGATGGAAATGCTGTTATCCATGCTTTTGCGACTTTCATCTTTTTATCAGCTTATAATTTGAATTACGTTGCAATTGTGACTGTTACTCATGACCCCATATCTTATAGCGATGGCAACTTTTACAAATATGTGGTAGCTTGTGATCCTACCATTACGTGGTTTGGCCGCAAACATATTGCTTACCTGTCATTTATGGGAGCATCATTTTTGTTTCTTGTACTCATTCCATCATTGCTGCTTTGTGTGTACCCAACACGTATCTATAGCTCACTGTCACGGATTATAAGCACCAGAAAGCAACTAGCCATCAAGACATTTGCGGAAGCACTCCACCCCTGTTTCAAAGATGGCCTCAACGGGACTCGAGACTACAGGGCTCTGGCTGGACTCAGCCTCATATTCTGCACAGTATATTCGGCGGTATCATTCTACGTGTGGAATCTTAGCAAATCCGGCTATGATTACAGAGTTTTCTCCGGATTATTGCTCATTCTTTTATCAATGTCTGTTGCATTTTGGAGGCCATTTAAGTCTCTAATATCAAACATCTCGGTCAGTTACCACACTATGGCATTGGGATTTCTTGCCATTATACTCCACTTTTGGAACACCACGCATTTTGACACAGAGACTCTGGAACTGATACTCATTATTGCTCCGCTCATCTCCCACATCTTTGTGCTCACCTGGGTCAGTCACTCTCTCATCCGCCAAGTGTTGTCACATCGGCCACGTATATGCCACTGTCTTAGAAGCAATAGATACCTGGTTAGCTTTTGGACATAATAACATGATTGAACTTTTTTGCACCATGATTGTTATAACTATAATAGTGAGTGTGGGCAAACGCAAACACATGATCTCTCTAAATAATACACTGAGTGATGTCATATACACAGCCCTGAGAAAAGACATGCAGGGCACCTGAATACTTCGCTCCTGGAGCTTCAATCACTAAAAGGAGAACGAACGCGTAGTGTGTAAAGATTGTCGTATGATCATTATGCAGCATGCGCAGGCAGGTCCGCCCACTTATTCCATAAACACTTTACGTCATAGAGAATTGCTTGTCTCCGCCCCATGTCTTTTGTCGGGCGTTGTCCCTCTCCTCCAAACTGCCGCCATCCCGATCTCTGCAGAGAGCCTCTTGTGTGGCTCAAATCCTCTGCTCCTTCTCACAGGCAAGTCTACCTGTTGAACGTGTGTCTCTCTGGTACGCTGCATGGCTACATGTCTTGTTAGCCGCCGCCTGCAAACTGAATTGAGTCGAGTGTGGGACCCCATGTAGCTACATGGCACTCTGGAAGCTTGTGGACGTATGCAGCAAGCGACGTCCTACGTTAAAAATGGCTGAAATCAACTTTTCAAATGGTTATGTGTGAGTTGGCGTTCGCTAATTTTGGCAGCTTCCCCGGCCTCTAGTGCAGGTCTCTGCCAGTGGTTTTGCTAGCTAAAGCTACGCTGCTGTATAGCTTAGCTTTGTCAAATGCAGATGTACATGCAATATGGTCACTGGAGTCTTAGACTGTACATAGGTGATCATAATCACATTTTGAAATCTGAGAACTGCTGGTTTTGTTTACATCTTCCCCTATTCACAAAGAATGTAAGCAAAGCCCTGTGCAGACCACACATGTGCATAACCATAATACACAGGGTAGGTCAGGATCATACTAAAACGTAGCTACATAGCAACATTGAAAAACATATTTTCCTGAGTGTGGTGTGCGTGTTTATATCTGTGTGTGTGTGTGTTTCAGTGAGAGAGAGGCATAACATAGCCTAACCTGTGTAAATTCACTCCTAATATTTTCACCATGGATTGTGTATGTATAAAGTGCTACACTGGCTTGATTTAAAAAAGGTCTATATACTGCGTTCTAAATTGATGGCATGAAAAAGGAAAATTTTATTGAATAGTCTTGTACACATGCAGGCTGTATTCAACACACCATGTTTGCCCAGCATGAGAACTATTCATACCAAATGACATAATCGCTCCAAGAGCAGTGGTGAAATACATTCACTCTTCATTGTCATTGTCCGATATGTAGTGTATACTATAGCTCATATATTCTGTCGTTGTGCAGATACAAACATCAATGTCCAGCCTCGGAGCTCAGTGGAGACTCAAACAAATGGGTATGAGCTGGATAGTTACCAGATTTCAAACACATATATTTATCAGAGCTAGGATGCCACGGGTGCAAATATCTACTGTACTTTGTGGGTGATGCCCAGGTTTGCATACTAACCGATGGACAGGGGTTTGCATGCCCACCAATACACTGACATTCCAGCTCCAGCACTATTGAGTATGCCCAGAACATTCAGCCTACTTAACGAGAAACAGCCTACCGAAGCAATGGCTAGAAAGCTGGTTCTCGCCATAATTTGCCACATATAGTTTACTGCCTCCTGAGTTGGACCGAGCCTCTTTCCCTGCTTGTTACAGTTGTCCACTGTAAGTATGCTGCAGCAGGTCAATATCATTTTTTATTTGTATCGGGAAATTAATCATGGATGCATTCTACATGTAGAATATTTTGTGTGCGGTGTTGTTGAAATTTTGCACAGATGTGAGCAGAAGTAATGGAAAAGAGTGCTAAGGAAGGGAAACAACATAAGCCCATATCAAGGTTCCTGGTATCTTTGATCCCCGATCACTTTTTTCTCTTCTTGCCTCTAGTGCTCTCTGAAACCTTCTTCTGCTGTTTTTCTTCTTGTATTTACCCTATTCATACGTAACTCACTGTTTCTTCCATCCCTTCCCCCCCTCCACTCTTCAGTTTCTTCTCCCCCTCCAACTTTTCTACCCCTTTTCTCTCCCTTTCTCTCTCTCCCTCTCTCACCAACCCCCCTCTCCCTCCACATCTATCCTCTTCTTTCCTCACTGCTCCACTCATCACCTACTAAACTATAGTCCATTCATGTTGGGAATTCATGTTCATTTTCTTGAATAATTTGATCACCTTTACTCTATTATTGCACAGTGCATGCTTGGGAGCATTTTGTGTATAGCTCTTAAAGATCCTCCTTTGGTCTTGGTTTGGTGCAAATCCAATGCTTAGTTTTTGTGTGACATTAGAAAAACCGTCCGGCAAAGTGAATTCTCGACTAGAACACTCTCTTTTTCTCCCTCGCTCGTTTTTCTTAATCCCACCCCCACATTACCACCCCCACCCCCATCTACTCATACTACAGAGTCATTGGGGAGGGGGAGGAGGAGGCTAGGGGCTCGAGAAGTAGACCAGATAAGAAGAAACAAGACTCCAATCATCCCAATTCCAGATCAAAGGTATACACGCAAGTAGTATTTTTGGCAACGCAGTGCATGATCTTTCGACTGTTGTACTTGTACGTATGCAGCAACTAATGTGCACTAGATACAAGTAGTTATGTACAATTGTCAAAACTTGGTAGGTTGCTTCATTCACAAGTTGGCTGAATGTCAGAGTCTAGCTGTCAAAGAGTGCATGGTGCATGGTGTTGTGCAATTGGCAGTATGCATAGCTGCCTAGTGTGGTATGCCTTTGATACGTACATGTCACTTTATCCGTTGGTATAGTTTGATTTGTGTGCCCGAGCCTTTTGAGCTTTGTATTGCTAATGCAACCACCAGGCATTGTAAATACTTCTGATGCTGAATTGCGACATGCCAGGGGGCAATCCCTGGTCATTCCCCATTTCACTTCCTGCGCTAGATACGTATGTATGTGCATGTTATTGTAAATACACCTGGTATTCTTTAGTCACCTGTCACTACACGCTGTCATGTAATGAGTTCCTACTATTTACCAATGTATGGGAAGGTGTGGCATAATGAAATCACCATTTCTGGATTCTGATTGCACAACTTATGTGATGTAGTATGAGCTCTGGTGTGGTATTTATAGGTTGTGGCACCTAGTGTGGTTGCATGCACCACCTTCATATGTACTAATGTGACCTGTGGGAGAGAACAGAGAAGACTGACTTTTGTCAGGAGCGATTTTTCAGGCCTGGGTGGCCAGTAACTCAGTCACTGAGCTACAGCTCCTAGACAAACTCCCGTCTTCTCCATTCTCTTGTCTATGTCACTGCCAGGGGCCAATGATGGTGGGTGGTGGTGGTGGCGGCCAGAGTGGCTCTGGCTACCACAGACAGAGAGACGTACCTCCCCGCTTCCAGGCACACAACAGACCCAGCAACAAACAGCACAAGTACAGCGCCACAAGAACCACTGCCGCGGGTTAGTTGCCGTCCATTTTCACTCTGTCATCTCACATTGGCAAGGAAAGCTAGCCGACCTACTGGTTCGAATTGCCGATTTTCAATGTCACGTATAAGGTTCTGTCACATACCAATTATGCTCTTGTGTTTGCTCACCATTTTACCAGTGCATTGTGTGTTTCCAAAAGGAATGAATTCTCTATTCTTTAGCATATACCCACAGGGGGTGTTTATGGGGGGCACGTCCCACGTGATAAGTATTATGATAATGTATGTCCATATTGTAATCACCAGTTTTGTTTAAGTTTAGTGGAGGGGGTACGTAAGTTCTATTCTAAGTGTTCCCCAATTGTGTATGACCGTCCTCACTGACAGTGACATGTGTCATGTGATCATGTAATTTTAGTGAGTCTAGTTCCCATTCAGTATTGCACTAATTATCGTGTGTACATCTCTGGTGTACGCCATGTGGTTGAAATACAGTTTTAAGCAAGTGTGTGACATATTATACTTCCACACGTTAATTGTTGTGTACTGGTTATGTTGTTATGCTGTTAAAGGGAATGTGGTAGTCAACATAAAGGCTAAATGTTACTAAAAACAGAAACCTAATTGCATTCTTGCACTGGGCCCCATTGATCATTAGTAATGTTTCAAAATTTAGCCCTCATGTACCGACACATTCCGCATCACCTTGTACTAGTTTTGAGACGGGCTGAGAGGACGAGGGCTTTTCGAGCAAGGTGCCACGCCTATTGATGAGGGATCAGTGTACTCTGTCTGTATAGTGCCACGTGTGGTGTCTCGTTACTAAAGTGTCCTTGCGTTACCATCCTCTGGACATACAGTGTTCGAAATTTGTAGATATACACAGATCAATTGTTGTTGCTCTCCTATAATCTAGTATTGTATGCTGACAGTGACATCATCACCACAATCATGGGGTCACTGTATATTTCATCTCTTGAAAGGAGTATGGTTTAAAATTCCATCTCTTCTGAGCAGATGGGAGTTTCCTGGCCCCCCAGTGTTATGTCAGATGGCATAATAGCGTGCGTTAAAATACCTCAGCTATGACCTTAGTTTCATCAGTCCTTCCCCCAACACGTGACGTTGTCTCCTCTCCACATACCTCAGAGATTCTTACGCCATCCCGTGTATGTATATGTATGTGTTCGTATTGCCTCTGATGGACTGTGTGTGGTGGACTTTTTGTTTGTTCTGCGAGACACGCAGCAATGCCGTGCACTGCACTGTTCCCCACCCCTATTGCTGAGAGTAATACAAACAGACTTCCACGGCCGTGTCAACCGTGTTGAAAATGAGAGGCACAGACTGCTATGCGACATGTTTGTGGCATGTGTACGTGTACATGCGTACAGTGCATAGCATACATACATATGTAGTATGTATGTGGTGCTAACAACCGAGTTGGAGGGTGGTATGTGACACACTACAGCAACCATGGTCGGGATCAAAGCCGGCTCCGATCCTACCAATTGCATTCCTACCTCTGCAGACTGTATATATATACACGTTTTCTTTTAGATTGATGACAACATCAGTACACAGAGCCCTTCTTTCATACCACCGTGCATCAGTGTAACTGCCTGCATGGGTGTGCCGCAGAGAACCTTGTAGCCACTGGCCCTCTGAATGGTATGCAAAGCATTCATGTGACTGGCGACACAAAGAGAGCCTAATGGGAGGCAGTGTAGAGTTAACACTACAGCCACTTTGTGTGTTGTGATTGGCCAGGTTCCAATCCCACTTCCTGGTTACATACCTGTCCCAATACAATGCATCACACAAGTGTACTGCTCTGTCCATATATAACACGGAACCGGAGTATCTTGCCTGGTGAGATTGCTGGCCACCGAGTGTGTGTAGGACGGTGCTAGGCGTGTGTAGCAGCAGTGTGCTCTATAGCCAGCTGAGCTACAGGTGGGCCCCTGACTAGAGAGACTACTGACTGGCCTTGCTGGGCCTGCCAGGATGTGCTAGCCACAGCCACAGCTCCCCTGCTACAGTTAATGGACAGGTCTGGAACCACGTTGTTTGCCAGTGGAACAGCTATTCTCTCTCGACCTACTGGCTAGCTGTCATCAGTCCCTCACAGCCAAACCCTTCAACAGACTATAGCCACAACCGCCTTCACTTGTCTCTGTCGTGTTACACTTCACTACTCCAGGCACCACACTGGACCAATCCAGCTACATACTAGGGCAGTGAGACCCTGAACTATCCGACAGTGTATCACAGGCAGTGCCACCTCTCCTCCGTTTCCTTGGACTCGAGAACCCCAATCACTTATACTCCCCAATCAGGACTCATTGCTGCGTCCGCTGTGTGTCTCTCTCTGTGTGTGTGTACTCAGTCAGCTCTAAGCAAGCCTCCCTCCCCAGAGTTAGCCATGTTCTCCTCCTCAGTCTGCCAGACCCCATACTACTCACAACCACAATACATGACAGGTACAGTTTTTGCCCCTCTCTCTCTTTCTCGCCCTGTGTCTCCGTTGTGTGTCTCCCTCTCCGTTCCTCTCTGTATATTCCTCCCATTTCTCCCCTTTATCCATCTCTGTCTCCCTCTCACACAGATTGCTATAATATACTAAATTTTCTTTTTACTGGAAGTTTTTACGTGGCAGCATGTGTTGTAGCTGAGTGACTAGGAAAACACGCTAGATCTACTGTTTTTGGCTGCTGTATGGGTGAATTGCGCAATGGCCTGTTACGAGTAGTTTTTTGGACAGCCCTCCAGTTGTACCGTGTACCCTACACTAATGCCCCATACTCAACATCCTCCCTATGAACGGCTAAGTACTGCCTCTGTGTCTGTCTTGTTAATAGCAAGAAGGTTGCGACATTGTGTACGAGTGTGTCCAGGCACACAGGTGACGTGCATACGTACATATAGTGGCCAGGCCGTACGCGATAAGAATGAGGCTGATGTGATTGATGGCTTTGTGCTATGAGAGAATGAACCTGTGTGTGCCTCTGTAGAATGTAGGTATTGGCTAGGTCTTCTGGCTAGTGCTGCCTACTGGCTCTTTGCCAATCAACTCCTCAAATACTCTTACACAAGATGGACAGCCACCTGCTCCAGCTATATTTAGAACAACATAATGGCAGAGTAATATAGGCATTAGAGCGGTGGAGTCAGGTGTATGTGTATGCTGCTGCGTGTAATTTCTGGTAGTGTGTGTCTTGTGCCATATGCTACGTGTATCTAGATCAAGGGTGTGGTCGTGTTTCAACTGGCCGTGCAAAACAATTGCGCAGCGGCCGTGTGGGCCTAGTGTTTGTGCATTCCTGGATGTGGGGGCTCTTGGATGACCATCAGCTGTGTAGTATGCCCCATACATACATACGTATGCTGTACTGCTATATGTACGGCTATAGTGCACAGTATAGGCTTATGTGAGCCTGTGCATACATATGTACATGCGTTATGTAAGCCTCGATTCAACTACAAGTGTGCCGCCCATGCCATCTAAGGATTTAGGTAGCTATATAGAGTCCTCTGCCTGTGAGCAGAGTGCCACAGGCTCCAGTTCCACTGCTTTTGAAACGAGGTTTGTCCTGGGCGAGGTGCAATTGTTTGCCTTTTCATTCACTAGCATTGAAACTGATTTTTGTGCCGTGTCTTCATGTACGTATTGCGTAAGTTGTCTTGTCTCTGCATTTTGTGTTCCTATGTGTGTGGCCTTGTCTGTGGCGGATGTCAACAGCAGTTTATTACCCACGAGTGAGCGTCTGGTGCAGTAGTGTACGTGAGTATATATATAATGGGTGGTGTTTGAAGTTCCTTTCAGCCCTCGTGTCCATGTTGTGTGCATGTAGCATATGTACATTTCCATACAGAGTGTGAAAGCTGTTTTGTTTTCAGTTTTAACGCCAGGTCTTTCTGTGTACCTTGTAGGCCATTGTGGGCTCTGTCCAAACTGTGTGTGCATACACAACCATTTGCCTACACTACGCATGCACTACTCCCACGCGCGTATCATGGTTAGATGGCCGTGTGCACACTTGTTTCCAGCCTGTTTAGTTGGTTCTCCCGAGATGAGGAATGAGAATTTTAAAAGGAGTAGTGCATTGCTTCAAAGTGTATAATTGTGCTCCATTAATGGGATGGTGCTACCTACATACCTGGCTCATTGGCTATATGGGTGTGGGATTTGGTCAGTGGCTATTATTATAGTCACGCCACTCACTCACCCACCAGCTATCCCAATTAATCTCCTCATGATCCCTGACCTGTCTTATGCAAACTACTACCTAGTGGTCGAGCGCATTTTCTCCTTTTGGTTGAACTACACACACTATCCATTGCAGCATTTGATGCACATTAGCTTGTAGCCACACCTAACACTTGTTTCCAACCAAGTAGTAAATTCCGCATTAATTATTGAACTTGGAATTACGGATCAGCATCTTTCAACTGTACATATATACATCATGACTGTATGTTCAGTTGTCATCATGTATGCAGAAAAACCTAATTGCTACCAAAATGTTAGTGCCTACCATGATCCTCTACATTATAATGTATGTTAGGAAGGGGCTGTACTGTAGTTTGAGGCTAGGGTGAATAGTAGATGTGTGTGTGTGAAACAGGAAGAGGTAGGTTTCATGTTGCCTCTATCACATCCTTTTGTGTGCGAAGCGTTATCTGAATGTTTCGGAATCCGTACAAACTTGCATCGAGTCCCTCATTGTTTGCCGCCTCTGTCCTTGTATGTGTATGACATCGCCAAAATGTGTCTGTGCTGCATACCTATTGCACAGCTATCTTGATCTTCACGATGACTTATTGTCTCTCCTACTGCTGACTGAAATTCCTCCGTTGCCTAGTGCTAGAGTGTGTGCATGTACGATATTATGGAAATTTGGCAAATGGAAGCGGCACTGTACGAGGTTTTTGTAGAGATGATCGCTGTTTGTGCACACTGCGTTGTTGTGCTTAGCCACAAAACTTTGGAACCGCCTAAATGCCAAATTTTTTGGGCTGTATTGCAGAATCCCTCACACCTATATTAGTGAGGTGCCCTCTTTCTGCATGCTTGAGGAAAGAAAAGGTGCCCTTAATTAGAAAGATATCTTTATGGGGTGTCCTTGGACTAAGTGAACATAACTTGTGTTTTTTCGTTTGAAAATTGTATTTGCCCAAAAATTCCGTGGGGCACCTTTTAGAAATAACAGTTGATTTTGGAAAATCTATGCTGTGTGCGTGTTTGTATGTGTTGGCCAATAAGTGGTACACAGGAGAGAGTGAGGATATTCATGGCCTGTGCTGGTGTGGTATGCTTTGGACCGCATATACCATTTGTTCAGAGCACCCTCCCCCATATGCCTACCTTCACAGAGCATTCCGATCCAGAGCCACGTTTGGACCAGGAAAAAATCATGTACAAATTACTAAGTTGTCAAAGTAGGTGTGTGATAAGCTTAAGTACACATGGTCGTGGGGTGTTATCACGTGTAGAGTCCGATGGACCATCGGCTAAATGCTCCATCTTACACTGATATCTGGGGTCTCTGTGGGCAGTGTGTGTGTGTGTGTGTGTTTACCTGTGCACATATTCAGTCATCCGTTGCGGCCGCTTTTCAACTCTCCTGTTCATCCTGTGCATACCCATCCACTGCCCATGTATGTATGTACAACTGCACTGTGCAGGTGTGTTATGCGGCTTGGCTTATATATTCGTTTCTTGTGCGTACACATCTCTGTGTAAACATTTGTGTTGGGTTGTGAGTGCATGCGTTGGCTTGTACAGCACTTTTCGTTTACTTTCCCTTCTGATAGCTGTTGTGAGTTCTTGTCGTGTGCTATCCCTTGCATGTGGACGTGTATGATGCTTTTGGGGTAATTTTCTCTTGAGTGTACTGTTTCGCTATGTGCCTCTGATGTGTTTCCAGTATATGTGTTATCGCCACACGGAATGGATGGCTCTCAGACCGTTACTTTCACTGTCAGGTGTACCGTGTGTGTGTGTGTGTGTGTGTGTGTGTTGAGGATAAGAGTATTGTCGTGTACAAACACAACCATTTTGGTACATTTTGGGAGTTTACAGGGGTGAGTACGGGAGTGCGTGTGTGTACAGACTATCAGTGAGGGCCAGCAGGAAGAGCCAACAATCCCATCCATGGGGAACGGTGTTCGTATACATAATTATGTCATTCACTATGTAGTGGTTGTTCATGGCAGTGCAAGGCAGACATACATACATACGTACAACCAAACCAGGCAAGTAGACAGACAGGAAAAAGAGGCTTTAAGTCTAGTCCAGAAGCAGAGAAATTGAAATTTAACTATGTTCTTCGCACATGTCTTTTTTGTTACAGCTGGTATCCTTATTGATGCGCATGCAAGGCACCACATGTAATGTGCTGACCGTGTCTTTGTGATGCACTCTTGGTACTACGTAGGCTAGTATGCATGTATTTGTCTGTATGCCTGGGTGTGTGTTGACATTGTGTTAACCACACCACCCCAATGGCCACATGTACTGTGTTCCCCTGTGAGCGACACTTCAATTGTCCTCTGAATGGCCGCTACAAGTCGGTCTGGATGGGGCAGCAATGTCCGTTTGTTCTTAGAAACATGGTGTCATATCCATTTATACTATGACAGCATCTTCGGCATTGTCATGTGATCTATTAGTAAGTAGACACACCTGAACAATCTGGCATGACGTTCAGCATCACTGGGCTCTTCGATAATAGTGTGGCACACTCTATTTCTGTCTTGAAGAGGGGAAATGTATGTACGTAGCTTTTCCTTGTTTGGTTTGTTCTTGAACCCAAAAGTTGTATGCATCTTCTCCCAAGTGTGTTTCCCGGGGCTGTCTTTACAATCCTAGTACACAGTTTTTGCAACAGTTCAATCGAAATGTGTATGACAGTATCGGTAGGGGGATATTGTGTTTTGAATGAAAGGAGTCACTGTTTGATGTTTCTGTTGTCCTTTGTGGATTAGCTCCGGTTTTACAACTATGGCATTGAAGGTGAATAGTACGGTAGCTCACTACTGCTCATTGTGTGTGTCATTGTAATGTGCATGTTTGGGTGTTTGCCTGAGGGATATATACTAGTTATTGATTGTATAAGGCCATGTACAGCACTAGGGGGTGAACATGCATATGAGGCACACCACGGACAACCAATGTTGAGTTTTTGTTGCTTGGGCTAAAGAAACACTCACTGTCATTGTTGGCACACTGTGTGCCAGTCAGGTTGATTTTTATGCCGGGTTGTGTTTGTAGTAGTTGTGGCAAAAAAACTACAGCTACTGCATTTCTCTGTTCTGCATGTGTTGTTATTTCACTAGATGGCTGTTTGTTGAACTAAGCACATGAGTATGAAATGTGTTATAGTGCTTGTGATTGAGGGGTTGTACTTATTGATTGTGATATAACAGGGAATTGTCTTGGATGGCCGAGTGGGCAGGTCTGTGCTCATATAAGGCAGTGGCTGTGGTTTGCTGATCATATGCCCTGTGAACTGTAGTTTTGCCACAACACATGAGTTGCACGTCCGTAGAGCAACGTTCCAAGCAAGAGTGTTCAAGTGGACACTTTGTGTGGTTTTCATGAAAGCACTCTTGCCCCTTTCATGCCTTGCGCAATATTCGCTCAACTTTACTCTCATGTACAGCACTCTGAATGCAATTACTTACTCATGTTATAGTGGGTTGAACCCTGTCGACGTGTACTGTACATACGGTACTGTGAGTTGATCCCTGTCGTTCTCGTCTAATAGGTGGCAAGAAGCAGCCTCTCAAGGACTCCCCAACCAACCACTGGCACCAGAGCCCGACCTCCTCCATGCAGCACCATCGCCAGACCACCACCCACCACAGACAGCTGGTTGACGATGGGGGCTGGTCTCGCGGCTCCCCCGCCAAGGGCAGTGGCTGGAACAGCAAGAGACAGACCCACGGCGGGGTCAAATCCAATGATTGGAGGGGCTCCCCCGAAGTGGACAGTGCAGCGATATGGCCTGTGGCTGAGCACAGACACCAGGGTAGCGGTGGGAGTGGGGAGGTTGACAGTTGGAACACTTTCTCCCCCGGGCAGTCCAGTCGACAGCACTTGCATTCGGAGAACTGGATGAGTGATGAGGGGGGCTTCAGTGTCGGCGAAAACACCTGTTCCCCCCACAACAACTCTTCTCCCTCTCCCTCCAGCGTCAACTGGCACGTGGGGCCCGACCCTACACCCAACGTACAGCACGAGCTGGAACCAATCGAGGACGACGAACTGGAGGAGGGAGAGTCGGGGGACGGGGGTGGCAACCGTGACAACTGGACTCCGAGACTACATCATCTGGGACCACTCGACCACCAGACTCCTGACCGGGAAGACGGCGGTAGGAAGAATGAGTCCGGTGACCCTGGAGCCTGTGGCTGGGACAGCCTCAAACCCTCGGGGGCTCCCCACACCAACAGCGACAGAGACCCACTGGAATCTCCTCATCTTGCAGCGGCGTCGTCCTCCTCTCCCTCCCCGCCCTCCTCCGAGACCCAGCAGGGGCTCCTCCTCAGAGGGAGGAAAAACGCGAGCCTTTCTCCGTCCAGAGACCTGGATAAGACCCTGGAGGTCGGACCTGGCAGTACCAGTGGGCCTGACTCCTCCACTCTGGCTTCCTGTGAGCCTCCGAGACAGCCACAGGATGAGTTGTCCGGTCCCCGCTGCCGCGACCTGGTGACACCGGACGGTAGCAGCGGGAGTGGTGGTGGTCTGGGTATGAGTGTGTGGAAGTGCCGGCCCAGTGTGGGAGGGAGCACGTCCTCCATCAACAGTGCCGGCTCCAACTCCAGCTTGAAGAGCGAGGGGAAAAACGGGTACCACAGCAACAAGTCTTCTTCAAACTACAGTCCACGCAAGACTACAAGGTTACACTAGCACTGGCATTATTCGACATCTTACTGTTGTAATTGCATCCTGTGATATCTCATGATTCTACATTATTTCACATGCTGTTTGAAAGCTACTAGACCTCAATATGTGTACATGCATCTTGTACGTGTAGATTATTAGGAAGTGCTGCATGCACACTATGTATCCATGTTCTGGGCCTGCCTACTACGTTTCCTCTAGCTGGTATGTTTGTTTTACCACAGCAACTAGACTCGGCCATTATAGTACAGCGTGTGATTTTAGCGTATCCATAGTTCATTGCGAGTTCAAGTGCTACTGGTGCAGTCGTGTGGTGCAGTGTAACAGTATGGTGTTTTTCCTCTATATATACCACAGGTACGACAGCCAGAGCAGCGCAGTATCCAGCAGCTCGGGGGCCAAACTCCACGTGAGGAAGTTGAAGAAGCCAATGAGTGGTCTGGACGACGCCCTGGAGTGTCTGCACTCTGAACCCAGTGGGTGGGGAGACCTCCCCAGCCCCAAACCGACTGATGTCGACAATGGCACGGAGATATGGGGCGTTTCACCCGATGACATACACAGGAAGATCAAACACGCCAACGGTACATACTGTGTGTATATCTTCACATTCACTGCATCAGCCTGTATATATCAACAAAGTCTTGTCACCTTAGGTACATACTATGGATCTATGAAAAAACATGTTTATAGCATACTAACTAAAAGAGAGGAAAAGAAAAACCTCCCCCACCCAAGCACACAAAACACAGACAATAACATACCCAAGCATACAAAAACACAGACAATAACATATAAACATAACGAGAGAGGCAGGACCCTGGGTGCCCAGCCTTGAGAACCGGGGCGGTAGGTTAAAGAGTCTTTTATGGGCCCAACTCTCCCTACACACCCAGTGTCCCAACCTCCCTTACACGAAAATAAATAGATAGAAATCATGTACAAAAAACGACAGCTACAGGATAAAAACAACAGCCGGTAGAAAAATAGAAAGCCTCAAAGGACCAATAAACTCATAGAAAAATATAAAATCTATGAAACTCACGCAGCACGACGACACGACGGAGAAATAAAAAACGTGCGATTACTCTAAATAACGCACAGCATATACACGTGTAGAAAAAATAGAAAAAATAGAACACAGCATGTTTCGGACATTAATCAATTTCGTCTAACCCCTAGCCCATGGCACTAAACTACCAATAACATTTGTTCTTCTGTGACCTGTTGTCTAGTAAAGTCTGATTTAGAGAGAACCCTGTGTTTCCACCAATGATGGATGAATAGTCACTGCATGATAAATTGTTTTGGTTGTGATGTTTTTATTATAGTGTCCATTTTATCCCCTGTGCCGCAGGATGGGGAGATGGAGGGGGTGGGAAGATGGGGGAGGGGATGATGGGGAGAGGGGGAGGAGGGGAGTGGAGTGATGAGGGACTAATGGGTGGGGGTTGGCCCGGCGGTGCGGGGGACGCCAGAGGTCACAGGGTCACGACCCCAGGAACACCGGGACCCCAGTGGCTGCCTCCTGGGAGCAAGGAGAGCTGGGGCAAGAAGGTGCGAGCCGTACTCTGTTTCCATGCCAGTGTATATAGCCCTTTTGAGGCGAAACACTGTACTATAGTGTATGAGGTGTATCTGGACACGGTCCAACTCAACACCTTTGATGGTGGAATGGCATGCACACGTGAATGTAATCTAATCCTAGGATACATCCCACAAGTCGTGTAGTGAGGTTGGTTCACAGTCCGTATATATTACACATATATAATGGTACGGGTAATGGCATGGGTAATGGTGTAACTACCTGCAAAGTTACAATTAGAGGGTTTCTTTCTCTTTAGCTACAGACCAGGCCAGGCAACTTCCCCGAACACATCTCAAAGCTGATGGACATGGGATTCTCAGTAAGTCATTATGTATGTACTGTATGTACACTCACTATAGGTATATATATATATACATGCCAAAGCCCTGCACCGTTGTTAAGCTCTGTTGATGTGAGCTACAGTTTTACATGGAAAGCCGTCTTGCTCTTCTGGCATAACTTCATGCACACAGCATGCCATTACTTGTGGAAGATTTCCAAGGTGGGAGAAGGGAGAACGGGCAGGGAACCCGTTTGCTCAAGTTTATGACGCTACGTGTACCATTTTTGCCACTCCCATGAAGTAACCTGTACATAGTACTCTGGCGTACTCTGATTGTAATACTAATTGTATTCTCTCTTTGTGTTATGTTGCTGCAGCACCAGATGGCAGAGAAGTACTTGAAGGCCAATGGGAATGACCTGGGTGCCACTGTTGGCGATTTAATGTCCCTTGGAGTGGTGGCCGAAGACGGATCCCTGATGGGTGCTAACGGTGGGGGCAGACCAAGCAAGAAACAGCCAGGACTGGTCAAAGGTCCTCCCGGCGCAAACCACTATTTCGGCAGAGGGACCGGCTCGTTTGTGGGTCTTGGGACCCCTCCCGGTGGGGGTGCCCCTGCAATTACAGGCATGAAAGACCTCTACCACCAGCAGGTCCTTCAGACGCACCCTACCCTGCACCTACTCCAGATGCAGCAACACTACATGGCATTACCGTCGGCCACTTTGCTCGGGTTCCAGCAGCTCCTCAACAACCAAATGTCCCAGCTACGGACCTGCAAACAGCAGGTCATGCAGCAACTACAGACACTCAAGGCCCAGGCAGGTGGAAACTCCGCCCAGCAGCAGCAGGTTGCACAACTCCAGCAACGTCTCATGATCATCAACCAACTGATGACCCACATCAGCCAGCAGCAAAAGTACCCCTCCCAGTTGGCTAAAGACAAGAGTGGAGGAGGGATGCTGGATGGCATGGTCAAGTCTGTCACTCCTGGAGCTGTCGGGTCACAGCCTCTGGGGAGACACACACCTCCTTCCAGGAACAAAGACATGAAGGGGCCGGGTTCGTTCGCCGCTCGCTCCATCTCCCTCCCCGGTGGTGCTCACGAGCACAGTCTCTCCCTCGGGATGCAGGGTCTGAGCATGAACGGCCACGTGACTCCGTCCAGCATCAGCCAGTCCTCGGCCCGCAGCATCTCTCGTCTCCAGCAGATCATCTCGGGCTCCGCCGAGGACGGCACTGGACACCAGGACAACAAGACCAAGTTCCGTTTCCCTCCTCAGTCCCTGGCGTCCACTCCAGCCGAGATGTACGCCTCCATCAGCTCCCCACTGGCCAACAGTGGCACCACCGCCACCACACCGGCCTCCACCCCCTTCTCCCCTGCCCGCTCCTTCACCGACATACAGGAGTTCCGCCCCGGTGTACCCTGGCAGCCACGCGCCCTACCCACTGAGCCTGCACAGCTCTATGCCAAGCCCACCACAAACACCGGAGGCCCCGTCTCACGTCCAGAGTTGAGGACCGTTCAGAGCGAACCTGTCTTCCCCCAGTACGTCGGGAACACTAGCCACCCCCCTGTGGGGCAGCAGCGGAGGCCGCCGTCTCTCAACTACCACCCTCGTCCCAGTGCCAGCTACCGTGGTCGCAGCTCGTCCAGCGACCAGCAGTCGGGGTGGCAGCACGCGATGGCTCCGGGGTCCACCAACACCCCCAGCCCCTACAGACACCCACAAACCCCTGACAGTGCCTTCTCCTCTGGCACTCCAATTACCCGTAGACATCAGGGGCCTCCCCCTTCCCACTCTTCCTCTTTCAATCCAGCCAGTGGCGGTCTCGGGCAGCCTCTCTCGCGTCCGAATGCCCTCTTTCCCAGTCCGCACTCGTTCTCTCAGGCCCCGGGGCGCCCTCCCTCCACCTCCTCCTCCTCCACCAGCTCCGACATGAGGTGGGGCTCATCGTCTCGAGGCAAGTTTCCCAGCAGCAGCAGCAGTAGCGGCGGTAGCAGTAGCAGTGGTAGTGGGCCTCCTCCAGCCTCTCTCACCAGCAGCAGCGGTATGTGGGACTCCAGTGTTGGACCCAGCAGTGGGATCCCCTCCTCGTCCTGGAGCAGTCTCGGACTAGACACCGCCTCTTCTTCCCCCAATAACAACAATGGGTTCGCCCCGACTCCGGCTTCCGGGACTGAACCGGGTTTCTCCTCTCCTCCTCCTCCTCATACATCTTGTTCGTCGTTGGACGGTCTGACGCCGGGACTGAGTGTAACGTGGGACAAGAGAGGGTTGGAGTCCCCTGACCACAAGAGCGCCGTGCTCAGCCCAGAACCAACGTTTGCAGAATGGAAGAGTGGCAAGAAGGCTCACTTTAAACTACCCTCCAATCCACCCTCTTCGTGGCTGTGCCTTCACAACATTAATTCACAGGTAACTTAATAATTAGAGGGACGTGGTGAACCAGCTGGGGACTTTCCCGTTGTAACCTGAACAAAGGGGTAGTTATTTGTGTTGACCAGTGGTGAATGGGGACCTTTTGCAAGCCCTTGTGCCTCAACAGTGCCGCTGTAGTTTAACACTTAACCAGCCACAGACACAAAATGTGTCCAGAGCCTTCATAAGTCCATAAGAATTTATATGGGGGTTATAATACTAGGCGCTAATACTTTACACATCAATTTATGCTTATAATATAAGCAGATACCCATGGCGCCCAAAGGGTTAATTTTACCCCTTACTTGGTGGCCACCTGATTGTACATCAGATACGTATAGTGGGTGGCTTCAAAATTTCAACATGTAGTTTGTCTATTGGAACTTCAGCTTCATTAGAGTAATTCTATTGTGTGTGACTAACAAAGTGCGTAGTTGGCTCATCCTTTGTTAAATTTGAATGGGAGAATGTATGGTTTGTACATGTACACGATAAATATCTTGAGTGTGCCAGTGTGATGCATACACCGTATTTTCTGGAGCAAGTTGCATCAACGATTATTACCCCCTGGCTTTAACAGCAGTGCACATACATACTGCCAATACAGACCACAGTGTACACACCGATATCCTGTGTACATATTGATGTTCTCGTAACCAGCGCCACCTGTCTATACACAAGAGGGTCCACCAACTACTCATAACATCGGGGTAGTACGGTGGCTGACAGGGGTCACCGTCTCAAATTACGCTACCGCAGACTGCAATGCAAGTGGAATTGCTACAAAATTGGAAATGCGCAATTGCAACTAAAATGGAAGAGGAAGACAAAAAGTTACCGAAACAACGGCAACTCCTATAGACATGCGTGAGGCGATTCTCCGGGCATAATAGCCACACCCTTTTGCTTCGCGGCCGCGCTAAACAACAAAACAGGATTCACCGGTAAGAGAGGCCCTTCTCGAAATGTTCTCTTACAAGGTCGTCCGTCCGCTATGCCAAAAGCTGTCAGGGCTAGCGTCAACCGAGGGAAGACGAGCGGGAAAACTCACTTGTCCTCGCTCACGGTTAGGTATAGGTTTTTCCACTTCGATTGCAGTCTTTTAAGTTGCAGTTGCAATTGCGCATTTTCTCCTTCCGACTTCCATTGCAATTACTCCGCATAGCACCTGCAAAGGAACCTAGTGCTGGTTAAGAAGGCGTGGCTCTGCGTGGCCCTCGTACCCAGGTCTTTAACGAAGAAGAAGAAATGGCCGGGGTACAAAGCTTGACGTAGCATAGGGTTGCCCAAGATAGCGCTGGCCAGCGTGCAGGGTGTGTGGCTACAACTTTTAGTCTCGAAGGAAGGTTGCCATATAATATTTCCAATTGTGCATTTCCATTTTCGTAGGAATTCCACTTCCATTGGTAGCGATATTTGAAACAGTGACCCCTCTCGGCCACAGTAGGGTAACACCCACTTAATACTAGGCGATAATACTTTATACATCAATTTCTGCTTATTTAAGCAGATACCCATGGCATCCAAAGGGTTTTAAAAGTGTGTCAATCTTATATATACTGTAATGTGTATGCAATCGAATGTGGCCATGTATGGTTGTGCTAGGTTGATGAGGCATCCCTACGAGACGTGTGCAGCGAGTTTGGCCACCTCGAGATCCTGGCCATAGTTCCAGACTTCGAGATGGCTGTCGTCCAGTACTCCACCAAAGAGCAGGCCATCATGGCCAAGACTGGGCTGGACAAGAGCCCCGTGGTGTGCGGCGTAACTGTATCAGTCGACTTCGTCTCTGAGCAGAAAGCCTCGACCTTCATTACCCAGCAACAGCAACAGCAGCAGCAGCAGGCGGATGGAGGGTCGCAGTTGCAAGACCAGTGGCTGTCCAAGACGGAGACCAGCCAGCCCGCCAGCATGGCCAACGGATCACACTGGGACGGTGGCATTGGCCTAGTCAGCCCGTTCTCCCAGACCCACACCGCAGCAGCAGCGGTCACCACCAACAGCTCCCAACATCCCAGGGGTGGCGACCCTGCCAACACTCCATGGAGCAACAGTGGGTTCCTCCCGGGGCTCACCTCTCCTTGGAGCAGCACGCCGCAGACTGAGTCGGCTCTGTTCCCCTCGACCTCCAGCAGCAAGCAGGAGCCGGCAACCATGAGCAGCAGCCCGTCTCTCTCCACTTATCTACCCAATGGGCTGTTTTGAACTCTCTCTCTCTCTCTCTCTCTTTCTCTTTCTCGTGTTCACCCTCCTTGCGTGTTGTTGTTTTTTTACTCTTGCCACCAAACTCAAACAATAGTACCAGCCAGTCAGGACTGACATTTGTGCCCCCACCTCCCCCTCTCTCCCTCCCTCCCTCCCACCCTCTCTCTGTGTGTTGTTGACCTACCAAGTATCGCAATACTATAATTCGAGTACCACTACAGCCAAAAACTGGAGTAGCTGCCACTCTAAGCTAAGCCCACCGCAGAGTTCAGGCCACCAAACTATCTTGGACGCCATCCTACCAGCCACGGAACCAAACTGTATATTAAGTTGATGTACGTGTACGGCCGTTTGGTGTTGCTCCACAGCCAGTTCTCTCCTTCATTACATTGGGATGAATGTCATAAGCCTAACCCTAAGTATTAGTGTCTGTTGTATCATAAGTTATATATACCCCCCTTATAGGTGTGTGTCACTTGCTTGTAAATAGAACAACTGTAACACTTGCACTGTTTTACCGCTGACTCACCACCCACCCACTCTCTCTTATGAAAACATAGTCGATATCACCAAGTCAGGTAGTTTTCTCTCTCTTTCTCTGGAGCTATCAAAGCTATGTAAGCTGTACCAAATACACACAACAGCTGCATATCTTTTGGTGGTAAATTTTCATCACCTCAGCAGGAAAATTTTGTTTTGTAATTATTTTGTTTTTGCCGCAGGTACATTTGTGATTCTGTATTATTCCACTGTACTGGTTTTGAGAGATACATGTATGAATGTTAGTAGTGAAGAGGCCTTCATGTGTGTATAGATTGTGCCATACTTTTATCCACTGCCGTTTAGTATCACTGTAACAATAATTTATCATTTTGTTCATTTTTTCCGACAGTAAAAGACTGCATGACACGTGAACGTTTGTGATGAACACAAAACGTAGGTATAATTATAGCTAGGGTTTACTGGGAAGGGGTAATGTATGACAATAGGGTGAGCAGTGTCCAGGTGTATAGCAGATAAAACAGGATCTGGCCAGTCTCCTAATCTCTGTTCTCATTGCTGCATTGAAAGGCCATTAAAACTTCAGTCAACTGGTTAGATGGATCAGACCTGTTGTTGACTTATTGGCGAGAACTGTCCGAATACCTCAGTTGAACTATCACGAGTTCACTCCCACGACTGTCAGATGGTTCAGACGGTTCATTATTCATGTCAGACAGGTTCACATGTATGCATAGTGAAGTCAGACAGTTCAGATGACTGATGAGGCACTCTGTATGATATACTGGGAGGGGGTGAGCAGTGTCCCAGGTGTAATTATTCATGTCAGACAGGTTCACATGTATGTATAGTACAGTCAGACAGATCAGATGACTGATAAGGCACTAGATTGGCTCACAGGTCAGAAGTCCAGTAGACTGCTGTATAATTATTGACTCTACAGTTCATACCTATAGTCAGACAGTGTGGTTGACTGATTAGACATTGCAGACCATAGCCACAGGTCAGAAAGGTCACTCATATGGTTAACGGTTCACTCAACAACTATGTACAACTGCCTATACAAGACACTACTGATCCATGAGGCTGCAGTTAATGTGTGGCACCTATATCAACACCTAGCTACTATAAATAATGCATTCTGTTGGCTTTGTTCCACCGACTGCACGAAGGTTCAAAGGTTCACAATCGTGTATGCAAAATAACGCTGGTTCACCCTGAGCAACATTCACTGATGCATTATACACAAGACATGATGATGAAACACTGACGAGGAAAGAGTGGATTAGTCACTCGACTTCCACTACTCCTCCTACTGCTTCTAGTGCTGTCTTCAGTCTCTCAGCTTCCTCTTTCTTCACATCAGCCTGTACCACCTGCGGCACTCCCTCCACAAACTTCTTGGCCTGCACAGAATAAAACAGTTTTCTTTTCCAATTGTAGTAGATACAATTATACTGTGACACTGTATCAGTCTTTTCCATACCAAAGAAAATGTATAACATACCAGTTTTGTTTTCCAAATTAATTATTGTGAGTAGGTAGTGTATCTCATGCGCTGTCGTCCATGCCATCTGTCTATTTGCCTGCCTGCCTGTCTGTCTTTCTGTCAGTTGTGTCTGTCGTCTGTCAGTTGTGTGCCTGTCTGTTCTGTCTGTCGTCTGTCCTGTCTGTCTGTCAGTTGTGTCTGTCAGTTGTGTCTGTCGTCTGTCTGTTCTGTCTGTCTTTCTGTCAGTTTGTTTCTGTCGTCTGTCTGTTCTGTCTGTTGGTGTGTCTGTTTGTGTTGTGTGCCTCTCTGTTCTCTTTTCTGTCTGTGTTGTCCATCTATCAAAGTACCAAGCAAACTTGCCTCGTGTCCATACAATAACACACACTCCCACACACACACACACACACCTGGACAAGGTTCATTCCCTCCACCAACGTCTTGACCTCCTTGATCAGCTTGATTTTGGAGTCCTCTGAGTACTTGACCAGTTTCACTGTAAACTCTGTCTTCTCTTCGACTGCTTCTGCACTACCCTGAGACTGAAAGGGAGTCACATCACACGTGACATCCACAGAATTAACCAGCTACAACCTCCCTCTATGCGCTTCTCTTTAATTCTCATAGCCAGTCAGGTGTAGGGATTAAATTTACAATTAATTACTATCTCCTTCCCTGTAGGCACAACATTGACGGGATAATGGTGCAGGTAGCGTAGGATCACACTTCATTATGTGAGGCCCCAGAGGAATATTATGTTCCATGGATCCAAGGCACCACTCATACCACCTTACCTTAGACAAAACTCACACCCAATGTAACTGATACTGTGGCAATAGGTATACACCACAACATGATAGCTATAATTATGGTGAGGAACCCCTCAATAAGTATATACCTCTTGAGTAGGAGGAGCTCCAGCAAATCCAACTGGCATCATTGGGGCATCAGGGATATTCAGTTTGCTCTGAGATAGATAAACAACAGTGCACATGCAGTGTCGGTAACAGTACTCTGGTTTAGGCTAGGCCCCACTGTGTCGAACGGAATGTGAAAGGTCAACATTAGCTAGGGCTTGACATTCCAACACAGGAGTTACTGGGGGATGGCCATGTGAGGAACTAGGAGCAATGGAAAAGGGCTAGCTTTTGTCGAACCAACTATATAGGAGGGCCAGTAGACTTTGGCCATCTTATCAGCTACCTTCAAAAGTTCGTTCAACTGTGCAGTCTCCAGGAGTGTTAGCTGGGAGATGTGGTCCACAATGGTGTGGATCTTGTCCGGGTAGGTCTTGGCCGAGCCGTCCGGTTCAGGTACGGGGAGAGGCTGTGAGGAGAGAACGGCCGAAGAAACACGAAAGAAACCCCGTCGCTGCTCCGCGAGAACTGATCTACAGGTACAAGTGAACGATACGAGACTCAAGTTTGGGTGATTTGAGTTCTACCTGGTCCGTGATACACGCCTGCAGGTTCTACACAAACGAAGAGCCATCGTAGGATGAGAGGACCACATGCGACCAAAATCTCCAATTAGCGCACACTAGGCGCGACACGTGGTCAGATGGCTAGAAATAACAATGTCTCTACCCTTCTATCTGAGCGGAACACAACCAGACCACATGCGACCAAAATCTCCAATTAGCGCACACTAGGCGCGACACGTGGTCAGATGGCTCGAAATAACAATACAACCGAAGTGGTCATGAAAGGGTAATCATAATACAAAAACACAACAGGGAAAATATTGTATGAACAAGAAAATAGGAAGTGTAAGGGTGAGAGGGTGGGGTGAAGTAGATGTTCAGTTAGCAGAACCTCACTGGGCTCCTAGTGTACAACAGCAATCTCTTCATGTCTCCATTGCATCAGACGACTGCAGAATGAGAGGAGAGAGAAGGACAATATAATACACTAACTAAATGAAAAGCACTAAAGTGCAAACCCTCCGCAAACTGCGCATGCGCAGTACCGCTAATTGATGGGCTGGGCTATTTGTAGTACGCGTTTACTCGTGGTCTCCCGCTAGAGTAGCTCGCGGAGAGTCTGACACGGGCTAGCCACAGTAGTAGGTAGCATGCGGGTGTCAATACATGCCCTTCGTTGTTACTTCTTGTGCCTCCAAGGTACACACAGCAAGCGGACCCGATCGATGTAACCCTGTGTTAAAATTTGCATAATTGGCTTGTTCCCTTGATTTTCACGCCATAACTTCTGAACGTGGCACTTTACAAAAATCGCCATTTAAAAAATGAAGCCAGTGTAGCGCTGAACCCATTGGTGTCGCTACTTTACCTGTTTGTCACGCGGGGTAGCAGAAAACGTGGACGGACGGACAGACAGACGGACACACTAAGTACTGTAACCCTCGCTGCGCATGCGCACCGAGGGTTAATTAAAGATAGAACCAAGCTTCTGTCAGGACTCAGGAGCCTTATTTGCCCTACTGCAAATCAAGTGGACTACACACACCATGCCTGGTCTTTGCCATTCTCTCAAGTCACCCTGTACGGTGCTAACCTGTTTCCAGGCATCCAGTTCGGCATCTAGTGCATCAGCAGTGGGAGCGGGAGACTTGTTGCGACCTCCGCGACCCCTGCCCCTCCCCCTTCCACGTCCGGTCCCTCCTCCGAGACCGAGACCACGCCCACCCCTGGAGCCTCGTGGAGTGCTCCCTCTACTCCTCCTACAACACGCAATAACAACAGCACACAACTCAATCAAACATGCAGTACAGTTGGAAAAGTTCTGGGATGAAAACCTCTGTGTGAATCTAATTAGCACAACACTGCTGTATTATAAAAATCCACAACGGAGAGAACCATGTCCAGGTATGGGTGTGTGTGTGTTATTGTTGTATGGACACCAGAGAGAGGAGGCAAGTTTGCTTGGTACTTTGATAGATGGACAACACAGACAGAAAAGAGAACAGAGAGGCACACAGAGAGGAACTGCTACAGCCAAGTTGTCAACTCCTAGCCTGCACCTTTGAGGTGAACTGATACTTACAGGATGATCATAATAATATCCACAAGATCTACACTATGAACCTCTCTGGCTGCTACATACCTAAGGGTTACACTCCACCAAAACACGACTAACACTTTCAAAATCAACACCACTTTAAAAGCCACTCCTCTCCCTCTGTGTCCACCCCTTGTCTGCCTGAACTTACTAGACAAATCTAACTCTAAGACTCTCCAATCTAACCCCCACACCTCACAGCACAGCTTTACAGCACCGTCTTACAAACAAAACCTCAAGTCTTCAATCAGTCACTACCACCCAAAACCAGTTTCCTGTGCTTGTTGCCTTCAGACACACCCACTAAGGCTGACAATAAAGGTAAAACCAAGTTGATCAGATTCAGGGACACTCTACTAGTAAAGCAATGGTTAACAGACTTCCTGTACTAAATCAACCTCATAGTGGAGACGGAACTGACAAAGGAAAGACGCTGGGTAGAGTGGACTCACCATGATCTAGTGCCCACCCTTTGCTTGACAGAGACACCGTTCTCAGCACCTCCTCCACCACCACCACCACCTCCTCCTCCTCCTCCTCCTCCTCCAACATCGCCCACTCCCGCTCCTGATGTCATAAACTGTACCGTCATTGGACGACCTGCACAGGACACACACACACAACATTGTATTGATGGAACTGAGAACGGACACACATCATTGGTGGAGCTATTTGACTTGTCTTTTCCCTATGCCTCTGCGCACTTGCACCTAGGCACAGTAACCAACGTAGCTGTGAGTACTCGGTAAAAAGTGTACAATAGTACAGTAGGACGTCACTTACACAACTTGCATGGAGACTACACCCTTGAGAATTAAACTTGGCACACTGTGTGAAAATGCTTGAACAATGGCACACAAACAAATTGTGAATGTGCACAATGTCATGCAGACAACAATGTACTACACGTCGCTGCTTCACGTTTATCATGTGGAATGTTTACAGAAAGCAAAAAAAAACATTGATAACAAATGTGTCTTTTAATATACATACCCTTCACATTCAGTACTAGTATATACATTAGGACATGTGATTTCCTACTGGAATTAAAAGCACTGAATTGGAAACACACGGCGAACTGTGCATGCGTGATACCGCTAATTGATGGGCTGGGCTATTAGTATGCATTTACTAATGGTCTCACGCTAGTAGCTCGCGGAGAGTGTGACGCGGGCTAGCTACAGTAGTAGATGGCATGCAGGAGTTGATACACGCCCTAAGTTGTGACTTCTTCTGAGCCTCCAAGGAATGCAGAGCAAGCGGATCAGGTCGCGGTAAGCCCAGTGCGATTATGCATATTGGCTTTTTTTTCCGCTTGTTTTCACGGCACATCTCGAACGCAGTTGTTTCAGGAAAATCGCCTCTTTGTTTTTCAGGCTCGCGTAGTTCTGAAGCCGCTGGTATCGGTAACTGGCCGCCTCGTAGCCTGTAGTGCCAGAATAAGCGTCGACGGAACACACTGACAGACAGACAAACCAACTACTGTAACCCTCGCTGTGCATGCACGCTGAGGGTCAATGGGGGGGAAAAGGCAAGGGAAGTGGGCAAATTTGTCTAGCTGAGATCATGTCTGCCGTAGCACATACACAAGTTGGCAGTTGTTAGATAGGCAGGCAGGGGAGGCTAGCAACTACCACTACAAAAGAGCATTGCCTAGAGACCTAGAGACCTAGCAAATCAAGTGGGCACTTCAGTCTAGCCGTTTTCTTTTGCCGGTCTGCGCTGGGTGCCAGCGTTTCAGTGAGGCAGTGTCTTCTTGCTATTGTACACCCACTTTGATAGCACAGAGGTGACACACAAAACATGGACAGTACAGCACTCAGTACTCAAACTTGGACAGTTAATACCAAGCGCAGCCCAGCAGACTGGAGAGACAACGACCCTGCACACAGACAAAGACCAAACCAGCAGAGCTACACAGACAAGTAACTCTGACTTCACATGCCTTTAGTGCATTTTAATGCAATGTGCATATCGTTATGGCGGTGCAAAATGCCGCGTCTGTCTGTCTGTCGTTTGGCAGCCTGAGAGAGATAAAGTCTTCGTCCCATTGTACACCCATGTTTATAGAGATACACATGAGAACAGAAATATGTGGGACTTTGATTTGACAGTCATGAATCTGTGAATGTGGCCCCACACTAGATCACCCAATAGAGCTCAGAATGAGGGGTAGACACAAATACGGGCGGCCAAGGGAGGCAACTCCCGAAAGTAAAAAGGCGCGACACCTTGGCAGACCGCAAGTCGCTAGCCAGCATGGCTACGTGGTGATTAGCCACAATTGAAGACACTAGTCGAGATCCTGATGACAGGGCCTGCCCTTATAGAGGTGAAAAAGCATACAAGAGGCCAGCAATGCTGTGAAAGACTTTCCATGCTACTCTTCTCTCCCACGTATGGCACTAGTGGCAACACTGGGCCATATTTTACACATGCTCAACTGCAAATGAAAAGCATTGAAGTGCAAACCCTCGGCGCACTGTGCTGTGACGCGCACGCGTAAGTAAACGCATGCACCGTACCACTAATTGATGGGATGGGTTTAGTTGTGGTCTCTTGGCAGCTCGCGCAGAGTCTGACGCGGGCTAACTACACTACTAGATAGTATGCGAGAGGCGATACACGCCCTGCATTGCATCTTCTGGTGCCTCCGAAGTACGCAGAGCACGTGGATCGATCCGACTGTGGTAAGCCATCCCGTCCGTTGTGTATTTGCATATTGGCTTTTTCGCACTCTAGCTTTGCAACGGAGCAGTTTCAAAGAAAACCGTTCGAAATTTCTGACCTTCATTGCCTGTTAAGTAGGTCGTATCCTTTGAGAGACGAACAAACACCCGAGAAGTGAGATTGAGAGTAACAGACACACACACACACAGACAGACCCAATGAAAAGCACTAAAGTGCAAACCCTCGGCGAAGTAGCTCGCAGAGAGTCTGACATGGGCTAGCTACAGTAGATACAAGCACGCGAGCGAGATGACTTCTTGTGCCTTCAAGATAGACAGAGCAAGCGGACCCGGTCGAGGTAAGCCGCCTGTGCTAAATACAAGCGCATGCGCATTATCCGCCAGCGATAAAATGGTGACTACCGGCATTAGCCATACAATGCTGGATGCGCTCTAGCTTTGCAACGAAGCATTTTCAGAGAAAACCGTTCGAAATTTCTGACCTTCATTGCCCGTTAAGTAGGTCGTATCGTTTGTGAGACGAACAGGCGTTCCAGAAGTGAGATTGAGAGTAACAGACAGACAGACAAACCCAACTACTGTACCCTCGTTGCGCATGCGCGCCGAGGGTAACTACCGTAACCCGCGCTGCGCATGCGCGCCGAGGGTTAACAAGGGCAGCAGTTGCCCACCACTAAACACTGCTGCTGAACCAGGGGTAACTATCGAGCTACTGTATAAAAGTAGCTCTTGAGACGTCCTAACTGGGTACCAGTATCTACCACACACACTCACTATACCCATGTACAAACTCTTCATAAAGTGACGTGCCAGGCTCGTGATTTGATGATGCAAATGGAGCCGATATGCACGGGTGCATGCTATAAGCTCTTGTCTTGGAAGCTGGTCACTAATCTCTTAGTAAGCATCTGGGGAAAAGGACACTATTTCACACGGGCAACACCTAAACAGCAAGTTAACGGAATTTTATATTGTGGCTACTCATTGTGTTTACAGATCAAGACTGAAAGGCTGAAAGACATGACCCCAGCCACATGCAGACATGTTTCCTCCATGTCCAACAATAGGACAACCTGAGCCTGCATTACACTAAACACTGGATCCCTCATCTTCCTAGTGCTCAAGACTAGCCGGTGAATTGGTCTGTGTACAGTAGCTCTTATGGTGCGTTATTGCCATTTTTATAATGTTCCGGCCTGGAGCCTTAGCTACCACACAGCAGACCTAACCTAGGCTGCCACAGACAATGATGAAAAGCACTATAGTGCAAACCCTCGGCTGACTAGAGACACGTCGGCTCACTAGAGAAACGTGTGTGTATGTCCACATGCATGCGGCGGTACTGTTAATTGATGGGCGGGGCTATCTATGCCAGTCGCCAGCTTGCTGCTGAGAAGCTATGACAGGCTAGCTACGCATGCGGGAGTTGATACTCACCCTGCGTTGCAACTTCTGGTGCCTCAAAGCTATACGTAGAGAAAGCAGATCTGTCGAGGTAGGCCTGTGCTAATTTGCATACTGGCGTGTTCACTTGTTTTTTGGGCCATAACTATCGAATGCAGTACTTTTTACGAAATTCGCCAAATTTAAAATAAAGCCAGTGTAGTGCTGGCATTGCTTTCGTTGTCTCATTGCATGGGCTGGCATAAATTGCGGTAACAGACGGACAGACACACACTTATCAACCAAAAGTACTGTAACCCTCACTGTGCTAGGGTTAGAAGGTCACAAAAATTCCACTCTTTTCCTTTTTCCGTTCCCAATAAAGGATTAAACTGTGATGCCCCGCCCGCATGCTCGTCATGACAAGAGCCTTGCCTGTAGACCCCATTATGGCTGTTATGCAAGGATAATATTGAACTATTTTTAGCGGTTGGAACACACCTCGCATTACATGGCTTACTGCTATGACACTGATCTAACTTCAGTTAATGCAGCAATGCATTTTTTGGCGAGCTAAAATAATGACAGGGTGTTACAAAAGGAGGAGGGGTTCCTTCTATCCCCCTCTTTCATAATAGCACGCACAGTGCGGTGGTAAAAATGATAGTCGTCATGGGTGCATGTAGTAGTTGTGTTGTTGTTTGCCTTTTTCCTGTTAACACACATGGTATGGTCCACTGGAACTGTGTATATAGCAAATGGGCCGTCTCAATATGCCCCACGGCTAAAACCCTAGAAACGTACCGTCAAGAGGGACACCGTTGTACTGCTTGATGGCCTTGAGGGCGTCTGGCCTTCGCTGGTAGATGACAGTGGCCGTGCCGAGGGAGCGACCACTCTTGTCATAGTGGACCTCAGCCTTGATCAGCTTCCCAAACTCAGAGAACAGCTCCTGGAAAGAGACACAACCACTATCAACTGATGTTTGTGTGAGTGGCAATGTGGCTCAACAAAGGAGTAGTGTAGTCTACACTTGCTATTGTCTAATGGATAATGATCCATAATAACGATCCACATCCCATGGTAGAGCCATTCCCTAGGCTAGCATAGCCAAAGCTGAAATACCAATCTCACAATATAGCACCAATGGGATAGGTATTCTCAGAACAATAACTTAGGCGAGGTCATAGGGGGTTAGCCTTGCTTATTATATCCCATGAAAATCTCACCCCTGAGGGCCTGCACATGGGGGCGTGGTGTGCCATAAGCAGAAACGGCCCAAAGCAAGGCTGTCAGTGAGCCAAAACGTCCCGATAGACACCAAGCAATGTTTGTCATGAAACCAAGGTCTCCCAGGGTCATACATGCATTGCTACGAAGAAACAAAGAAGGGTCCTTTCTTAGAGCCAAGTGAAGTAATCTTTTATACGCTCCAGATACCTATAGAGGCACAAAGAGGCATTGGCATCTCTAAAGTTTGGTAGATACATCTTTCTAGCTTGCCTCATGCACCGCTACACCACCAAAGCTGCCCTCAAACACACGGAATGGTGTCCATCAACCATAACCACCTGCAAAGTTTTGTAAGCGATCAGTACGTGCTACGTGTACAAGGTCACGCCATACATGAAAAGCCAAGAAGGCCATTGCTTTACAGGCCAAGGGGCTCATTTATTTGTCTAAAAAAAATTCCTGAGAAGCTTCGTTTGTCGCTAACAGGTGTCTGTCCTGTTCGTCAAATGTATACACTATCTTAAGCAATACTGCACGTGCAAAAAGGTTCCAAGTCTGCTACGGCACAGGATTATCCTTCCTCTCTTCTTCCCTGCCTCACAATGTGCCTTACATACACTTGTAAATATCTTCATATACAGCAAGACTATTGGGAACACACACCCCACACTTTAATTAATGCACACCTCAATAAGTATGGTTTTCTACACTTGTGACAAAGTAAAGAAATTATGAACAAGGTGGTTTGTTCACCACACTACAAACAGTGCACATAAACTACAAAAGAGTATTGTAGCACTAACAAACCTTTATGTCAGCATTGGAGACGCCGTAGTCAAGGTTGGAAATCAAAAGCTTGGACGAGGCAAAGCGACCAACTGCACCGGCACCACCAGAACCACCCGACTCGAAATCTCCTTCGTACATATCGTGATCCCACTTCTCTGGAATATTCCGCGGCTGTCGGGGAGGAACAGAACGGGGGCACCCACACGTAAAGAGACAGGGGGAAGGACACAGAGCTGCTTTGGGGTGCATGTGGTAGTAGCAGTGGTGATGATAGTGGTTGACTGCCACATGTGTGTAACAAATCGAGGCTGGCACGTCGCGCACACAGGAGGCTAGACTGCTCTCCAGGTATTGCCCATGCTCTACGGCTGAGACCCTGGTACTCATCATCATTGTGGGTGTGAGAATCTCGGGAATGCAGGCAGGAATTTTGAGTCCATTTACACTCTTAGAGGTGTAACTTTTCCTACTTTCAATTTCGGTGCACTTTTCTCTTGAACCAGGGAGATGACACTCTGACAAACGAAGGGCTGGAGATTTGGCTCTTCCAAACCCACTTTACTTTAGGGTAGGGGGTTCCAATCGGTACTACACATGAGCACCACGAGGAACAGATTTGACTAGTGTGCCACGCACAGAGACAGCTAGATTGACAGGCCCACTCAGTGAGATACACAGCAAAAAGAGAAGAAAGGCTGGGCAGCTGCAAAGAGCCACCGCCCGCCTCACGGACATGAGAAAGAGAAGGAAACGAACAAACACCACTGCACTACATTAGCCACCAACTCGTTGAAAAGAGGTAGCGCCGCCGCGCGTGGAGCCTCGAGGTCTCCTGAAGGGACCTCCGCTCCTTCCCCTGGTCCCTCGCCCGCGGCCGCGGCCCCTGCCCCTCCCGCCACGACCCCGGCTTCGCTTGGCCTGGATGATGTCGTCGAGAGAACGGTCTAAGAAGTCGGCCATTTCTTTCGTGTGTGACGGCGGTAGTTCCTTGGAGAGAGAAACTGCAGATGATAGTTGTTACGGCGGAGGACGGTGGCGTTCGTTCCGGTCGAGGAGGCTGGCTGACACCGTACAGAAGGCTGAGTTTTGAGCGGCGGAGAGACGGCGGCGAGAACGTCGGCGGTGACAAAATGGAGGGGCGAGCACGCAGTTTTGTGGGTAGAGCACGCGTCTGTCGTGTGTTAATCACGTGCACAGCGGTTGCACGCATGCGCATCGAAAGCAGGCGTTTTTTGGTGCCAGAGCGATGCGAATCCTTTGATCCTTGCACCGCAGACAGCCTAAATGGTGCGCACTTTATTGTATGGCGTCTGGGATCGCAGGATAATTGTCGTAATCATCATAACCAGACAGTAATCCTTCCCCGGAATGTTGATTAGATATCGCGTTGTATATACTACCAGCTGGAGTATTTAGCTGCTTTGCCATGTCTAGATCCAGAGTTTTCTCCTCCGTAGTTGCGCAGCTCATTCGTGAGTAACTCGACAATGTTCTCGTGTGCGCTTTTCCAGGCCAAGGACGATGTACCACTGCCAGCAGAAGACGCTGAAGTGACAGTCAAAGTCATCGGCACGGTGGGCCGGGGAACGGCGATCTGCACGTACAGAATACAGAGAGACGCGGAGGGTTTGGTGCTCTATGTACCGTCGCTTCTCTCGCTTCCTTCCGTCACGAGACAACACGTTCGCCTCTCTGGATGCGAAGTGACAGTAGCGCAAAGCTCCGCCGCCGTGACGCACCCTCTCCGGCTCAAAATCGACGACGCCGACCTCCTACACACTGCGACACCGTCCTGCAACGGCTCCGGCAGCGAGTTGCCCGAGTACGACGAGCTACGGCGACGCTACAAGACGACTGCCTCCAAGCTGTTCGGGTCACATTCGTACGAGGACGTCCTACTGCACGTGGGAGACCTACCACGAGGAGCCGAGCTGTCCGTTTGTTTTGAGTTTCTGACTCGTTTCTCATCTTCCAACCAGGTCCCGCCCGTTCAGTACGCTCTTCGCCACAGCCTACCGTCGCTCCGCTGCTCCTACAACCTACTCCTGGCGGCCCTGTGCCCCGTGGTGGACGTCACAACGGCTGGCTCCCCTGCCTCTTTCTCCTGGGAGTACATATACGGCGGGAAACAGCACAGAAATTTGGTACAAGTGTCCTACACGACGGCAAGAACAACGAGTAACAACGGGGGGATGAGTTTGGAGGTGGGTGTGCCACTGCAGGGAGTGAGTGTTCATCTGGGTAGTGGAGGAGGGGTGTCAGGAGGGTGCTGCTGCAGTCTACCAGCCCCGTCCAACATAGAGAGAGAGAACAGCTCCCTCCTCGCCCCTCACGATGGGGTCATGATGATGAGCAATGTCTTCACCCCACGTCAGCTCCCGAAGACCCTACAACAACAGCCCTATTCCCCCTCTGAGTTTGTGTTTGTCGTTGACTGCAGTGGGAGCATGAGTGGCTCAAACATCCAGATTGCCGCCGACACGCTCATCACCTGCATCAAGAGCCTCCCGCTCGGGTGCCACTTCAACGTCATTGCGTTTGGCTCTACCTTCCGACAGCTGTTTCACAAGAGCACAGAGTATAGCCAGGAGAGCATGGAGTCTGCCGTACAGTTTGCCAACCAGCTCCAGGCCAGCCTCGGAGGCACCGAGCTCCTAGGGCCGCTACACTGGATCTTCAAGGCCCAGCGTGTCCCCGGACTCCCTTGTCAGGTGTTCATAATCACCGACGGAGGAGTCACCAACACAACCTCTGTCCTGCGCTGTGTCCGTAGGAACAGACACCAAGCAAGGTTGGCACGCTTAATTACTTGGCATGGTATACGTAATTAAACTTACAGTACTCTGCATGGTATATAAATTCCCCAGCTCTAACTGTTTCCTATAGTTCTAGTGTGTGTAATACAGTAAGCTGTGTGTTGTGTGGGCTCGTAATAGGAAGTGAGTGTGTCCTGCTATGTGTCTGTCAGTTGCAGTGGCCAGGTTTCAGATATCATTCCAAATGCATTATCCCAAATGCAGGGGCTTTAGACCCTTTGTGCTTTGTAGTGGTCTTGGGAGTCAGTATTCATGGAAGTTTGTCTAGACTTGGGGGTGTTACTGATGATCTGGTAGTGTGTATGGCTATGTATGTCTAGACAGTGCTGCCCACACTTTGTGTTTGTGGTGTGCCTGTGTTGGAGTGTGCGTGCACTCTAACCCCATTGGAGATGACCCACTTGTTGGCACTATCACGAAAAAGATGGGCTACCCTTTGCACGTATGCTTTTGGTTGCATGTGTATGTATTGGGTGCCAGTGTTTCAGGAAAGCTCTGCGTAATAGTAAGAACCTGCCTGCGCCACAATGGCTGAAGAAGACTTTATCACGTATGTACATATTTATACAGGACATACATTGGCAAGCATGTGAAAGGCAATGAGCTGTAATTTCGTTATCACATACTTTGAACGCAAATGCTACGTATATAGCATACGACGGTGGTTAGTGTTGTATTATATGTACCTCGTACACGATCTGTGGAGGGGTGTCTGGGTCACTCTAAGTAGATGCTGTGCTCATACCACCTAGAACCATGTGTGATATACATCATTGATCCTCGATATGTACTGTAATTATGCACTATGTACAGTGTGAGTCTATCATGATCTTTGTACGCATCTCTTCATTTTCCCTAGGAAGACCCAAACCGAAATGTTTACTTTTTTTTGCTTCTCTGTGCATTCCCAACCAGCACAGTTGTTCTCAGACGTCTAAGTGTACATAAACTGTTCAGCGTACTTATGTACTGTAATTATGCACTATGCACATGTGTATATTTACGGTGGAGAATCAACCACAGTCCATTACATTCTACCTTGTACTAAGATGTTCACGTCAGTTTGCCTCGTGTTGTTGAGACCAACTTCCCCACTCAGTAGCGTGTGTTTGTGTGTGTGAGTGTTTACTGTACTGGTTTACTCATGTATAGCTGTAAGCTATTGGGCATCTCAAGTTACCCTAATGGCAGACACTGGGATGTAACTCATCCAGAATAGCATGCCCCATTTGTAGTAGTAGGCTGGGAACACCTTTGGTAGAATACAGGTCTGGCTGTTTTCTTGCATGCCAATTGGGCTTGGAGTAGGGAATGTCTTTGAAGTGTCCCAATGTTCCAGACTCACTTGAGTGGCTACACTGCTGGCTTTGTGCCCTGCTGACAAGTGCCTAACTGACCACTTTAGCTGATTGTGCTCTCTTGCCTATTAACCCCTGTAATCCCCTACCAATCAACGTCTGCTGGGACTGCATTCCCTGCCACACATTTCCCCAACCAAAGCAAACATCTCAGCGTGGCCATTGTATGAAGGGAACCTGGGCGGACTGTGGTGGGCAAACTCTGATGCAAATGTGGTTGCTGGAACTGAGCTGTTTGGCCTGGGCAGCAGGTAGTGACGGCTTGTCTTTGTGTCTGCCTTGTTATCCAACGTCTGGATCGGTCCTTTGATGTACACTCTGTACTAGAGATGATAGCCAGGTGTGTATGTTTTTACCTTCTTGTCTGTATAATGTACTACTTACATACACATGTCCACCTATACATCACTGTGTGTATTGTAGCTACAGTGCAAGTGTGTTGTTTGTTTAAGTTAAACCATATCCCCATGTGCCCTAGTCTGTTTAGCTATATAGTAAAGTAGGCTGGCTTCTGTATCAGTGTGACTCACATGGGGCGGCTGTATGAGTGTGCATTCGTGTAGATACGTAGCACACTTTACCAGTAGGTGCGGTAGCTTGCTTAATCAATGGTTGTGTTAGTGAGAGGTGTCTGTTAGACGGCGTGTGTCAATCACATGTCCTTGTAGAAGGACCGATTGTGTGTAAGGCCAACGCCGGCCAACTGTCCCCACACACACGCTGAACGACGGCCAGGTGATGTCTGTGTGTAAACGTGCTGAATGCCGTGTCTAGTCTTGCCTCATGTCTCAGTTGCTCCTGTTTTCACTGCTGTGCGTAGGTATCGCCTACAGTGTCTGGGTAACTATCAAACAGTAATTATTGTCTCGGTCAGTCAAAGTGGAACAAACGGTGTTCTTTTTCATTCACTTATGTCTGGGTATGCGGACCCCACCAGTTCTATCAGAGAATGTATACATACCTAATTACCATACGTCTATGATGCTAGTAGGTACCATGCTATACTAAGTACTACCGTACTTAGTGGTATATACAGGTAATGCAGTTACTCTCCTCCATGCAATCATTCAGTCTCCTCCTCCCCTCACCCCAGACAGGGGAGGGATAGCTAGACACCTGCCGACGTGCCTGTGGTGTCTAGTCCCTCTTCTCCCCTTCCTTTCCTACAAATGCCTTTCTACGTATGATACAGTCAACTGCCGTGCGTATGGGTGACTAATTTACCCCTATGTATGTTCAACGTGTCTCGTGTAGCATGTCTCGTTATTGAGGAGGGTGGTGTAGGGTGTACACGTGGCTGCCGAACGTGAGGAATTTGACTGTTACATAATCCGGCTTTGAATGTTTCATCTCTTGGCGGTCAGTTTGTGTGAAAACAGTTTACTCTGTATTGGCGGTCAGTCTGTTATTCAAGTATCCCCTCTGGCGGCAATCATGTGTATGTGTCCCCCTACACGTTGACAGTGATTAATTACAACTCTGCTACGTTTATAGTTGGTCTCTCCCCAGTCTGTCCCTGTGTTGTACAACTGCTGTATACATCCTCAGAGTGTTGTTGGCACAACTGTACACTTCAGACTGGAAGGAACCCAGACTGTTGGGCTAGCCGTCGCCTTTCCTCCGCTGTCCCTTTGACTGGGGAGCCCATGCCTGGAATATGCCCAGAGTTTCCTTGTCCCACAGAGTCCCAAACTTCCCTCTTCCTGCTAACCTGGTTGCTGGCCCAGACATCCCGGGCCATTCCTGAACAGCTGAAACTTTCACTGGAAACTTAGCATGAGTTCTTGCTGTATATGGTATTACAGTAGCAATGATCTCAGAGGAGAGGGCCCTGCTGGCTATAATAGCTGCGGTATAACTCATTCTTCCATTAATGTCTCCCATTTTGTCATCCTTGGCACATTTGGGCATAGAATGTTCTGCATAATACAAGGAAACACACAAAGCCCTGACCTGTTGGTATAGAGTGGAGAACCTTTTCCTAGTTGCTGTGAGACTGCCTGTTGATGATGTACAGTGGGCTGACTGTTGATGATGTACAGTGGGCTGACTGTTGATGATGTAAAGTGGGCAGCCTGTTGATGATGTAAAGTTTTGTCTGAAAAAGAACACTCTTAGCACCCAAGAGTGGTCTTTTTTCAGATACATTCTCACCACAAGAGATGAGGAGTGATAACTAAACAGGCTATATAACTAACAAACAGACAGGGCTCACTATTGAATTCATCATTTAAGGCATCTGTCTAGCCATCTCTTTGACAGCTCATAATTGTGCAGTGGCAGCAGGGTGGTTTGTTGTGTTTACAACTGGGCCCAGGACTGTGGAATAGTGTGACTGTTCCTGGTGGTGCCCTGGCGTGAAGGAATCCAATTCCTGTCTTGAGTATTGCCAGTGTTAACTGACACGTAATAATGACACTCTGTCACCTTCTCATGGCTCACCCTCTGTACCCATGGTTATGCAATTTCCTGTGCACTCACTGAAACGCAGCATCTAGCCTCCAGATACATGTGCCGCTGTTGACAATCCCAGTGTTTTGGTGGCAACTGGCCACCTCAGGTGTTGAGATTACGAAGTCTTACCATAATGTATGGTGTGTGACGTGGTGTATATACAGGTTATGATCTTCCCTGTGGTAGACGTGATGTCACATCTCCCCACCCTCCTTTTATCTCCACACACTGTGTGTTGCCAACAATGGAAAGTAATTAGTTGAGCCTTCCGAGAATTTGCTAAATGCGTCCCTTCCAGCCATGTACGCCTATTACTGTCGTGTATAGCTCTACATGTGTGCAGTATGTCTGTTTATTTGGACGTTGCCAGCTGCTGGATAAAGCGGTAGTAGGTATGTATACACAGCGTACGTACTATCCTCGTGCAAGTATATTCTTTCAACCAACCGCTGTCTAGACGCGTCCTCCCACACAGTATTATGCTGGTGTCTACAGTGTCTGATTGTAGCTGTATAGCGAGCCTGTGAGAGCCTGTGAGAAAGTCAAGGCGTATGCACCACATGCGTGTCTGTATGTATAGCCCGGGGGGAGGCCCATGCATTATACCCTGGTAATTAGTATCCTGTGGGTCCTACTCTTCAGTATGCGACTGGCTATAGGTTCAGTTTCTGTAATCGCTGAGTCTGGCTGCATTATTAGCGGTCGGTATGCCGGCACACTCTCAGTCTGCGGGCCTGTGTGCGACAGGCCTGGTTGAAGCAAGACAGACCTTTCTGGCAAGCTATCGCACCAGAGGCCGTTTGAATTACAGAGTTCTAGAAACAGGCTGCCACTGAGTTTGTGTGAGAGACAATCCTTCACATCTGCATTTAAGTGTTTAGAATAGCCTTCTTTGTTAAATTCTGTGCTCAACATGAGAATTAGCACATTAGCTAAAATGAGTAAGAAAGAAAAGTGACTATATCCCAACACAGTTTTTCTTCTGTTGGCTCTTTTGTGTAAATGTAAGTGCATTTGTACCCATCTGTACGTGGGCACAATAATGCAAATCTGTATCTAATGCACGCAGCCATGTACGTTATACATAGTCAAATGCCAACGTCAACGTTTACCTGTTGTGCTGAAAGTGATGCTTTTGTCAGTCCGCTTGCTCCCCATTCTTTGTGCACTACACATTGCCTGACCCACGCTACAACAATGCCTCTATCACTCAGACTCTTCGTCTCCGGGACTCCTGTACATTGTATGCATCTCCAACAAGTCCTGAGTACAACAAACACTTAATGTATATACGTAGAGCTCTCGAAGGTGTAAACAGCGGGGCAGGTGTGTGTATGAATATGCAGGTTGTAGCCGATGTATTCAGAGTTCAGGGACCGAGTCTCATCGTCTGGGGACTTTTTAGGCCCTCCTCTTATGTTGGAGGACTTGTTCTGCCAGAGACACTTGGCTGCTCCATGGTGGAGCCACATGTAGGCACACTTGCACAGTGTCCATACACACGTGCGGGGTTATTGCTACCCACCCATGCCCACTGGCGTAGCAATGCGAGAGTCATTAGCGAGGATGGGAATTAGAGTTTGGCTACTTAAATTGTAATATTTTCATATGAGTGCCTTGTACAGGTGCAATAATTGGTAACCATGCATACGCTATGTTCGGGTCACGTAGATCGAGCTTAACACATTGTATCGTATTATGTGCAGCCATTTCGAGTAAGAATTTATGTATGTGGTGTGTCATACCTGTATGATGTGGAGTGAGTTGAAATGTAGCGACGTAGTACGTACATACGGTACTTGTTTAGTTTTGAGAGCCTGCTATGCCTTTTCAAGAACCTCGGCTTTGGGGTATAAATTTAAATGTGCAGTTGTAGTAGTAGTAGTAGTAGTAGTAAGGTGCAGACACAATGCCCCTTTCTTCACTTGCTTTATACAATGCTACACTTATTCACTAGACCCATCTTGATAATATGTGTACATGTAGTAGCTTCCCCATGGGGAAACTTATATATTCTAACAATCTGGAGGGTCCCCTTAGGTTATCTCCATATCCAGGTTTCCCCAAGGAATAGTAGGGGCTCCCCCTAAATAGAACTACATGTTAGCCCCTCTCCTGTTCATAATAGAACCACTGCCCTATGACAACTCTTCCAACTAAGGGAACTTACCCCTGTTGGTGTAGCCCCTGTGCCCCTAGTGACCCCTGTGCCCCTAGTGTAGCCCCTGTGTCCTCAGTGCCCCTAGTGTAGCCCCTGTGCCCCTAGTGTAGCCCCTGTGCCCCTAGTGTAGCCCCTGTGTCCTCAGTGTCCCCAGTGTAGCCCCTGTGCCCCTAGTGTAGCCCCTGTGCCCCTAGTGTAGCCCCTGTGCCCCTAGTGTAGCCCCTGTGCCCCTAGTGTAGCCCCTGTGTCCTCAGTGTCCCCAGTGTAGCCCCTGTGCCCCTAGTGTAGCCCCTGTGCCCCTAGTGTGTCTGAGAATGCAGAATGGCATCTAACACTGCTAACAGGTAGGGAAGCCAGTCCGTCTGATATTCGTTGAAGTCCACACCACTGCTGTGCCTCTTGACAGATTTCCCCCACGAGCTCAGAGTGTGTATGTTTAATCCTTAATGTGAAGTAGCCGCCTAAGAACTTTTCGGCCTAATTCCTGCTCTCGGCTATGGTGTTACATATAATCTACCTTAGTCAGCCAAGGGGGATTCTGTGAGATACGATAGGGGCTGGCCCTGCAATATGATGCAATGATTGTCTAGACTGTCTTGGTGTACAGTTCCCTTACATGACCCTGTCTGGCGGGTGTAAATTTACCCAGCAACATTAGAGTAGTACGTAAGTATGTAATACTAGGTGTAATACATTCCCCATGCTAGTCTAGTGAACTTCCTAGAGGAGGGAAGTTGTGTCCTGTGTGAAGGAGAGCAGAGGATGTTTGGATTCCCAGTACTGGTGACAGTTGTGGGTTCATACAGACACACTGTCTGGCGGCCACTGTGTGTATGTGCCATCAGACACCTATGGCACTGAAAGTTGCCTGCTGAACCTTGTGACAACCCCACAAAACACCCAGTTGGGGAAAGTAGAGCTTACACATGAGTACTTACACAAACCCACACGCTCACACTCTGACACATGCTCAGACTGTCTGACTGGAGTTCAATGACTGGAGTTCAGTCAATGTCCGCAGGGCTATTGGGGGTTCAGAGCCCCATTTGATACTGCATACTGTTGTGTCTGGTGCCCTCTGTACAAGGAGGTCATCGCAGAGACTGGCAGCATTGAGTGTGCTATTAATCATTGGTGAACTATGGCTTGATTCCAAGGTCTGGTACATACGGTGTGGTGCACGATATATAATGGCGATCAAAATGTATTTTTTAGAGCTTTTGCGAGCCTGCTTCCTTCATGTGAGCTTCGTAGGCATGCGTACATACATACAGTTGAAAAATCCCAGGAAAACTGTAGCGTCGGGATTTAGATTTTGTTGTTTTCGTTGCCCCGAATACACAATACATTGCCAATCATGGAGGAAAGAAAGAAGACAAGTGCCTGTCCCTTGAAGATGTTTATCCTTTGACTAACTGTCATCCCCTGCATGGTACAGTACATACTCTGGCCCTCTCTTCATAACAAACATCTGAAGGAATGGTGCATATTGGAGTGTTATGTCACATTATGTAACAACTTGTCACGAGAGGGTGTCTGTTTAGTCCAGAGCTGGCTTTGATCAGCATGGTGTGTTGGGAGTGGTGCACTAGTTAGGGACCCAAACTGCCTTTGTTGGGCGCTGCCCTAGACAGCGCAGCGCACCAGCCTCCACGGGCCTCCATGAGCTGGAACACCATGTGCTTAGAGCTCAGAGGTACAGGGATATATATGATCTCACCATTCTACAGCTGGGCAGAAGTCTCACTGGAGCCATTCCTGCCTCCTTTACAGGATAGTAGTAGTGTCTGTGTGTACATGCCAGACTGATTGCTTATCACTCTTATGGCCTGGTAATCCCTCCTGGCAAAAGTGGACACTGTGAATACATTTGCTCCAGACTGGCATTGGTGATAAATGGGCTGGAATGAGACTTATTCATAGACTGTGCCCCTGACACCTCCCTTGCATGTCTGACTGTCTTTGTATTATACTGTCACAGTTGTCCAGACCTTGCACCCTTGCCATTGGAGAGGTCTTAATTTGTGGGTGTCTGACTAGCCTTGCCGGGTGAAGGTTAATTGTGAAGGTTATTGTCGAGTGGAGCGTAAAATTTTATAGTAATACTGTAGTGTATAGTGACTGCCTGTAGTCTGGTGGTCCCCAACAACCCTGGTGCAGTCTGTGTGTGAGACTGTCCAGTCTGGTGGTCCCCAACAACCCTGGTGCAGTCTGTGTGTGAGACTGTCCAGTCTGGTGGTCCCCAACAACCCTGGTGCAGTCTGTGTGTGAGACTGTCCAGTCTGGTGGTCCCCAACAACCCTGGTGCAGTCTGTGTGTGAGACTGTCCAGTCTGGTGGTCCCCAACAACCCTAGTGCCGTCTGTGTGTGAGACTGTCCTGTCTGTGTGTGAGACTGTCCCGCCTGGTGGTCCCCAACAACCCTGGTGCGATCTGTGCCAATAGGACAGACTGTCCCAACAGGACGTGTTGTGTCTGTGGTGGGCACAGTGGGTGGCATCATCATAGGAACTGACTGCTGGCTGGCACTCTTTGATTCTTGGCCCAGGGCAATGTATGGTGATATGTATATACCTAAAGGTTCTCTTTCCCTACATCTCCACCCACTCAACTTCTGTTTGGGTATCTGGCACTTCTGATGTATTATGCTAGCTACTTAGATCACTTGTACCACTTGAGCTACCTCCCTTCCCTCTTCAATTTCCTCTCTCCCTCCCTCTCCCTTCCCCCCTCATTAGATGTCACACATTTGGTATTGGAGGTGAGGTGTGTGTCGAGCTGGTGACTGGAATAGCGGCGGCCTCTGGAGGTCAGTGTGTCCTCGTCTCACAAGAACAGAGACTTCAGACCAAGGTAAACATCTGCTCAGCAGTATATATATACATGTGTGGAGTTTCTGCTAACCCATTTAGTACTTGGTGTTGAACTCGTGTTTTCACACGAGCTTGATAACGTATGCTGTCCTCGTGTTATTACGTAATACGATGAAGCTCGTCTGTGGCAGACACTCAATTACACTCACTACTTTTACAGGGTGCCATGTGTAGGTGGACCAGGACTATGCTAGTGTATAGAACTGTGCCTCTAGTGTGTCAAAGGGTGCTACTGTCTCAAACTCTAGACATATTGAAGATACATACTTACGTGCTGCACTTCCTTGGCCCTGCTAAAGCCTTTGGCATCACATGGTCTAATATCTTCAAGTAGCTAGTGGGGTGTACAAGACGCCAGAGTCCAGCTTCAGTGATGGCTCAGAGCTCTAAAGCCTCTCAGTGGCCAGACAGTGTGTGTTCCATTCCTAATTATGACCGAAGGGCGTTGGAATGTCCAATTGGGCGCACTCTATGTATGGCATGCAAAGAAGCTGATGTTTATGTATACAGTATACATAAATAAAATCCTTGATAAACATTTCCCCTTCATTATGCAAGCATTGGTGGGAATGAACACATTACATATTACGGGATATATATTGTAGTGTTTTTTCAACTGTGTGTTGTCTACTGGACATAGCATTATACAGCTGTTTCTAATTGCTGTGAACGTGCAGGTGATGGAGGTGCTCAAGGACAGCATGCAGCCCTCCATGAGCAACGTCATGCTCCAGTGGCACCCTCCCAAAGGCTACTCTGTCGTCGACTCCTCTCCTCGTAACCTTGGAACCCTGTTCAGCGGAAACTCCTACTCTGCCTTTGCCTTCCTTCGTTGGACAGACCCAATGACCAACGGGACACACGATGCCAACGGCGACGTCATCATTCCTGCGGGGAGAGCCACCCTCACTGGACTAGTCAATGGGGAGCAGGTTGAGATTGAAATTGACCCCGTGACCTTCCCGCCACTCTCGGAGGTCCAGGGGGAGGAGATTACATCCCTCCTCTCCTCCTCGGCCACCTGGTCCAAACTCTGTGACCTCGAGCTGCAGGCACTCACCAGCTCACGGAAAAACAGCCAGAATGAAGAGAACATGAGTGAGCCCCTGGCAAAGAAACCTCGTTTGAACGGGTTGCCCCACACTGCCACACCACAGAAGTCCCTGTCGGAGAATCCCTTCAGAGAAGAGTTGACAGATCTGAGTGTCCGCTCTGGGATTCTGTGTCCCCTCACCTACCTCCAGTCGGAGAACGGAGCCATTCGGCAGATTATTCCCCTCCCCCACAGCTCCCTCAGCAAACCGTCCACCAAGACTGTCCCCACCATCCCGTCTGCTGCATCCCGCTGCAACGGTGGCCCGGTACTCAGACACCGCAAGCGCAAACACAGTCACCGCCACCACTATTACTCCTCTTCTTCGCCGGACTGAGTCCAGAGGCAGGGTTCACCCTCACCGCCCTGGCCAAGAGCACATTTTCAGCCATCGGGAACACCCTCAAGACTGTGGCCAGTATCACCACGTTTGGTCTGGTGGGCCAGGACTCATCACCCGTCGTGGAGAACGGGCAGAGCATCGACGACGAGATTGAGTATCAAAAGACGCGGAACTCTCGGCTCCACTGGGACGAGACCAAGGGCAACATTGTCTACCCGGGCGTCTACTACCGCTCTCACCCGGGGAACTCGCGACATAATCATCACAATCATCACTCAAAGAGATCCCGGCGCTCGTCAAAACACCCGTACCACCACCACCGTCCCTCGTCTTCCCGGTCTCCCTCCTCCCTCCTCCCCTCACCCTCACTCCTCACCTCCCCACCCAATGCCCCCCTCTCCCTGTCACAGCTCCCCGAACTTCAACTACTCGTCTCTGCCACAGTAACACCACCAGTTCCTGCCTCTCTGGTAGACAATGTTGATGAAGATGACGACCTTGCCATTTCGGACACAGAGAGTGACTCGAGTGTCGACCCTGACTGGGAAGTCCTCCGAAAACCAAATGAACTCCTCCCCCTTATCCACATACAGCTCTTCAGCGGTGCTTGGCCACTCTTGCGGGCCTTCTCCTATGCCGTCGGAGTCCCCCTCGAAGAGATCCGCAAGCTGCCCCTGCCATCAGGGGCTAATAACCACCAGACCAACGGACACACCAACGGAGAAAAAAGCGACAAAGACGCTCACCTGTGGGCTACAGCGGTTGCTGTGGCCTGTCTGGAGGAGCATTTCTCTGAGCTGCGAAGTGAGTGGGAAGTGGTGGCATTCAAGGGTCGATGTTGGATGGAGGCGGAAATCCAGAGCCACAGTAAACTCACTGTGGAGGAGCTTCTGAGATCTGCTCGTGAACTGGTGCGGCGACGATCCTAACCACCACCCCACCACTGTCCCTCCTCTCTATTGTGTGTTGATTGATAACTTTTAATATCTTCCTTTTGTGCCCTCCGTCTCTGAATGTAAGGGTTTTATGTTTCACAATAAGCAACCTGTATTAATCATGACAGACGATATTTTGTTCACCCAAACTCAATTGTGTAAAGATACAGCTTTATCAAAATTATCGCTCCTCCACTCTAACGTGTGCGCATGCGTATGTACATGTGTACGTCATTCCACGTCGCAGTGCCAAAGCTGCAGCGCAGGGATCCTTGCCACGTATACAAGCGAGAGACGCAGCGTGGTGTTCGTACACATAGTTGAAGGATTGGACCAGACGGATCTACATGTCCGAGTTGAAGATGTACAACCACCTGTCAGGCAGTAACAACAGGCGAGACAGTCTGGAGCAGGATCTAGCCGAGAGACTGTCCCGTGAGACTCCGCGGACCTCCTCAGACGGTGAGCAGAGAGAGATCTCTGGGGTAATTAGTGGGCATTAGGGCTCTGTAATACTGTTGTACTGCCTTTGGACGTGCTCCACGATTAGGAGGCCTTCGTGGTCGGATTGGATGAGAGGTTTAGCGTATGTATATACCCGTGATGTAGAAAGCTTCTTGTCGCCCGGTGAGAACGCGGGAATACACCTGTATTGGTCTGTGTTTTGAGGGACAAATTGTCACTTGCCACAAAAAGTCTTTTGTTCATTGTTTCACCAACCCAGGTGTATTTTAATGTTATTCATGCTTCGCCCTTGACCATGAATGCTCTCACCACCTTTCTCTCCATGCCCATCATTTTCACTACCAGTTGTATGATAAGACGAGAAAGGGAGCTGTAATTATCACATCTTTGTGTTGGATTAGGAGCTTGTCCTTACTTGTAGCCTGACTAGCAGTACACCAGAGGTTGTTAGCGAGCAAATCTTTTGATCACCTGTTACACATATCTCTGGGGATTTATGCAACTTCCTCTTGCCCTCCTTCCCAATGTCCATGTTGATTCAGGGATGAAGGATGTGTGTGTGTGTGTCATGCATCGTAGAAATGCTGACATCCTTTATGACACTCACATTTGGTGTCCTTATTGGTGTCCTGTGAACTATAACTGCACTAGATATCAGTGGATGCGAAGTGATAGATCTTTGTACATACCAAGCTTCAGGTGTTAGGCTGTGCCAGTAGCAAGCAGAGTGTCTTCCTGTGCGGAGGACTACATGCAGTTTGGAAGTTTGGAGTATTCCACATCACTGTATTGTGTTACATACACATTCCACACTATGTGTGTGAGCTCCAGGAACTCCCAAATGTTTGTCAGTAGAGGTGTATTCACATCAGTGCAATCAAACAGAAGGAAGTTTAACAGCTGTGTGTATCATTTGTAAATTGGCTCGTTCTCCTTTGATTTTTGTGTAATTTCTGACGTGTGTACAAGAAAGCAGAAAAACCTAGTTTTTGGGCCAAACCATTGTATCAACCATTCTATGCAGCAAGCATAAATTATAACCTCTTGGCTTGTGCATGGATTTCAGCCTACGTTCCCAGTACATTATTGCATGAAAAAAGGCAAACCAGAATGTCCATTTTCCTCCCAGCAATGGTCTTGTTTACTTGTCTAAAAGGTCATGTTGATTGTTAGCCAGACAGTTGCTAGTGTTTAGTTGGCACTGCAAGGCATAATGTTGCACCACCCTCTCCATATTATTAACCCTCGGCGCACATGCGCAGCGATCGTGACAGTAGTTGGTTTGTCTGTCTGTCTGTCTGTGTGTCGACGCTTGTTCTGGTGCTAAAGGTCACGAGGCGGCCTACATATTAGCGATACCAGAGGCTTCAGAACTACACGAGCGGGAGATTAAAGGGACCAAAACCGGTGACCTACACAATGATCTGCTGAGGACCTCCCCTGATGACTGGTGCATGACAGACAATACAAGACAGAGAGATAGGGTGCTCTGGTTTGGGGATGGGTAGTGGGACTATCGTGTACAGGCATTCAAAAAGCCAATGCATGTGACGACGGACAAAGCCATCTCAATCCCTAGCACTCTCCTTTCTTTTTTCTTCCATACAAACACAGAAACAGCTTGTTCATTGTGGCTACATGTGGACCACACGCCATCTTCCCTCTCCCACCTGCGAGTCAATAGCTATGTACGTATGTGTACTCAGGCAATTCTGAGTAAACAGTGTGTGGTTGTGTTTCATGTCCGTACACACCTGCAATCAGAGCCATAGGGCTGCAATGTTTAGTTTTGAGTACAAAACGGTGAATAAAGTGACAGAGGATGCCTTAATCGAACAGCAGCACTTCTTTTGCATCCCATTTTTGGATTATATGGGTGTGTCCCACCTCGTCAACAGTAACTCCTCTGTTGTGGCCGATAACCGCTAGGTCAGGGTGTAGATAGTGCAGTACCTCTTCCACCATGCAGGTTCAGCCAACGTCTTTGAGGATTGCACGAACTACTCTTCGAAAGATACGTACTATTGTGCAGTGCCATGTTTACCGTCATGGGTTTATATTATGTTCAAGGCCTGGTGACATCTAGGGCAAGTGCCGTCTGTATCCTTTTGGCCTTTTTGCCACTGATCAGCTTGGTAGGAGGCTTAGCCCGGGCTTCGATCGCTTTTTGGTGCCCCTGTTGTGATCCAATAGTTACTTTCAGGGTTCAGACTTGCTCTGTGGCCTCCAGGGTAGTGTCCCAATGTCTTTTCTTGACATCTTAGGCAAGTGTCAGTTTTGTACTGATTCTTTTTGAGTACTGTGCTTGTTGGAAGAAACTTCAGACGCACTTGGAGGGCGAACCTGTTGTCCTGAAAAGACATGCATATGATAGTAGGTTCATAGCAGGTTGTACTACTCTGTAAAGTCTTTTGATTAGCTGTCTCATGACTGTTACATTATAAGAAGTATGTTTAGGAATACTGGTATTACCTGTTATTAACCCTCGGCGCGCATGCGCAGCGAGGGTCACAGTACTTGGGTCTGTGTGTCTGTCTGTCTGTTTACCACATTTTCTGCCACCACACACAACAAACCGGCCAATAGTGACCCAACAGGTTCAGCGCTACACCTGCTTGGCAATTTTCGCACAAAAAATACTGCATTCTAAAGTTGTGGCGTAAAAACCAAGCGAACAAGCCAATATGCTATTTAAGCACAGGCTTACCTCGACCGGGTACGCTTGCTCTGTGTATCTCGAAGGCACAATAAGTCACAACGGGGTGTGTGTATTTACTCCCACACGCTATCAACTACCCCGTGTCAGGCTCTCCGCGAACTACTAGTGGGAGACCGCGAGTAAACGCCCAGCCCATCAATTAGTGTTACCGCGCATGCACATTTCACCAAGGGTTTGCACTTTAGTGCTTTTCATTGTTATCAATAATTAACAGTCGGTCGCTGAAAGTGCACGGAGGGGTGCATCCAATCTCTAGGTAGCCCATTCCGCTCGGACAGCACTTTCGACCTGGGTTTGGATTGCAGCACATCTCATAGGTGATTCAATCTGGTCCAGCTGCGGACTTGCAGTCTCCCTAGCTGGTGGGTCACCTCTAATTGGGAAGGTAAGGTCGTCTGGGTGACTCAACTCCTGAACATGGGGGAGGAAGTCCGGTCCCGGGGAGGCAGGTGGCCCAGGAATCTGCGAGGAGAGGTGTGAAGTCAAGTTGGCAAGCGGGATCTCACAGCGTGGGTAGTCCTCGCCTAGTATTGAGCGGAAACATTTCCACTTGATTGCTCTATGCCACTGCTCTAATCTATTGGCTTCCCTGGCTCGCTTTCTCCTCTCTGCTCTGTCGTGTCGTTTCTCCCCCTGTCGGTTGCCATGGATGCTGGGTCAGATTCAGATACTGTGGAGTCGTCGTCGGGTGTGGGGACTGGAGAGGTTTGTCCGTTACCACGTGATCGTCTGTGCCGGTGTTGCCTTTCCTGTCTGCTTCTCCAGTGGGAGGTTGGGTGAATGGCAGGCCACACCGGTCAAAGGAGGCTTAACTCGTTAGTTATCTCGCCGATCAGTTTCTCGAATGGAGACCACTCTTGTGTAGACAGCAGGCGGCCAGTAAATCTGGGGCAATCTCAGTAGTACATTTGCGATGGTAGACTGTGGTTTTCCCCCATCTATATCTTCGTTTATCTTCTTCACTTCATCCTATAATATGAACGGTGTCAGGCGACAAACATGTGAGGAATCAGCCAGAGTACATGTGCATTTTTTTCAAGTATACCTCGTAAATCATCTAATTCGCTTAAAGAGGTATATACCAGCTTTTAGTAGTGCAGTTTACACATTGACTCTGTAAACACGTGTATCATCAGGTAAAGTTCCCTCATAATGGATGAATTTGCTTATCGTACTCCTTAAGTGAAGTGACTATGTCCAATTGACGTTATTTTTGTTCAAAATTAATCGCTCTTTCCCCCTTTCATGCTTGACTGTCTTCACCACAAGACAGAGTTGTAACCAGCACACCGTACAAAACTCTTATTGCTTACTGTCAATGGCTCACCAGGGAAAGCGTTCACTCTTTCTGCTGGTGTAGCTAATTTTGGGTCGTTACCCGAGATGCCCTTTTCCTGTTTTCTTCTCCACAGGAGAATGGCTACCTTTCTTTTTTCGCCAAGTGTGACAGTTTTGGTAACTTAGCAGTCAGAGCTCGAATCTAGTTCACTGCCCCGGCCCTCATCCTCCACGTCATTGGTAGACATCTTGCTTGTTGAAGGGCCGCTGTTATCATTCTCTGACATTAACCGATCAGTCTCTGCCATGGTCACAACTCGCCACGTGAGCGTTCTGATTGTTTGCCGATCGTGCATGCGCAAAGCGTTGCTAGCAGTAAACAGCACCTATTTTTCTCATGTGCATCCCACATTTCTCTGTGTACACGGCAGCACTATAATATAGAGCAAATGATAGCCACACGGCTTCTAAAGGGGCAGCAGTGCTGTCTTTACAGTGTGCATTCTCTAAAGTGTAATGTATTCCACCATTACTGGTTTTTCATGGTGTATGGGTGTGAGTGTCCGTATTTCATACAGAACTGCAGTTGGCAGCACTGCTGGGGAAAACACTCTTGGAGAAGAATGCAGAGTTGGAACAGAAGCTGTTGAAACTACAGGACTTTGCAGAAGACTCAGCGACAGAGAAACAAGTATAATACATTCATCAAGCCTCTTAGGGAGCTGATCACCAACTATATTATAGGTGTCCAAAGTTTGGTGACCAGAAGCACAATAATGCAAGTTTGTAAATGGCTTTTGCTGTTCATTCTTGCCTTTTTACTCTGTAGCACTTTTACTCTATGACATTAGCACATGCATGCCTTACAATTATGTGTATTCTTGACCCATAAAGTGTACCCCCATACCTGCAGACGCTTATGCGGCAACTGACAGAGGCAAAGGATTCCCTCCAGTTCTCCAACAAGACTTGCGAGCAGCTGGAGAGCAGAGCTGAAGAAATAGAAAAAGCCAACACGTCCCTTGCCAAACTGTGTGAGAGCCAGCAGACACAGCTGGAGCAGAAGACGGCTGCTCTACAGGACCTGGAGGAGAAACTAGAGAGTGTCCAGAGAAAAGTCCAGCAAATGAAGGAACACTCTGAGTGTCAGACTGCCTGCCGGTCGTGCAGCAACGGGAACTCGGGACGAAAGAAAACGGCCAGCAGGTGTGGGGAGACTTCAGACGACACCGTTGACAGTCCGACAGCTCCTCAAGGGGGAGAAGAACTGAGGAAGGCTGTGGAGGAATTGACCGAGAGACTCCAGACGGCCAGCTACCAGAGGAAGAAGTACGAGAAGGGGCTGCGAGAGGTTCTATCTGAGAACCAGAGCCTGTCGCGGCAGCTGGAGAGAGCGGAGTCTGACCTCGGAGAGCTCCAGGCCAGGCTGCGGGACCTACGAGGAAGCCATGGAGCGACAGAGTCTTGAGCGGTCGTGTAGTTCCCCGACTGGTCCACTCGGGACAATACCACAATCTCTCTGTTTCGTCAACCCCGACCTATAACAGTGCGTTTCAGTACACCAGCAGCCTTCCTTCGCCTAGTGGTGGTACTGGGGATGACACGGGGAGCCAGCAGTCTCTCAAGACCTTGAGGACGACCGATAGCCTACTCGGTACCTCACTCTTCAGTGAGCTGGATAGCCAGTACAGCGACCTCCAGGAGCACTACGATGAGCTAGTGCAGCAGTGTACCTGCTCCGCCGGGCTGGCCCACAGAAACAGGATGAAGCAGGCAGCAAGTGAGATGGGTGGTGCCGATGGCCTGAGCCCGTTAGTGACTCCTTCACCAAGGGTTGACTCGTCGCAGCCGTTTAAGGACCTTTTTGAAGAAGTGTTTGCAACTCTGAAGCAGACTGCAGCCGTGGCCGACAAATTGGTGCAGCGGAAGAAAGTTTCGAACATGTAGTCACTATCACAATTATGTACAATCGCATCCCGTCATCGTAATCATCATTATCATCATCATTTTTTCATGTACAGTATAATATAAAGAGGTCCTTTGGTAAAAGGAGTTACATACTAAGAGGCACATTGTGTTTGTGCGATGTTGTGCAATTGTTCATGCACACGTTTATTTCAGGGACCTGCTGGCGTTGATAATACGTGTGCTTAGTCACTAGGTGTCTAGTGGCCTGAGTGTGAGGAGCTCTGGGGGAAACTGGGGACGGTGGGTTAAAGATCTTTTATGGCTAGCCAACTCTCCCCACACATCCAATGTCACAGACTCTCGTGCAAAACCTACAGCTTACAGAAGTAGTTACAATCACATACCTTAGGCTCTCGGACTTGCAATCCTATGGTTCTACTATTTATATGTCATAGGTATGGAATTTCCTTGTTACTCTAGGGTCCTGGGTGATGTACTCTAGTGATACTCACAAGTGTAAAAATTGTGTGTGTGTGTGTGTTGTGTGATGGTGAAGAAACATAAGGAAGGGAAATAAGGAGAAACAAGGTAAGAGACTAACAGGGTTGGGAGGGCTTTTGTCCACATTACCTGGGCGGCAACCCAGTGTCCATGCACTCCTAGCCTTGAGGTGCCGCCACGTAGCAACCACGCCGCGTTCACAAGTTGTAACATACATTATGCAACAGTTTTTTAGGCCGGTCATCAGGGAAGTACCTATTTCCGTCATTGTATGACAACGGGTTTTGGTCCCTTTAAATATCCGACCCGAGGTCAACTCTGGAATAGGCGGGACCACTCCCCAGCAAGCAGTCCGGCATAAAATGTATACTTATGCTAGTGTCTATGTTTTATATTCTATATCATGCTCACCTTTTCCTCTCTTGACCTTCTCTCTGTCTTGTAACTAAGGTGCTGAGTTATGAATATTATTAATAAGTAGTGGTTTTGGCACAGGATGTGCATATATACTCTTGCGACAGCTGATTGTTGAAATGTGCATATTATGTAAAGTGTGTGTGTGTGTGTAGAGAAGAAAGAAAGAGTGCTAGGGATTGAGTGGATTTTGTCCATGGTCACGTGCATTGGCTTCTTAAATGCCTGTATATGGCAGTCCTACCCACCCTCAAAATCAACAACTAGATAACCCTGTCTCTCTGTCTTGTTTTGTCTGTAATTTACCTAATGCACAGTCATCAGGGGAGTTCCTAGGCAGATCATCGTGCAGGTACTGGTCATTAGCCGAATAATTCACCATGTCACATGTGTTTCGCCCTCTTCAATTCAAACTCCTGACACGTGAGACGAGGCGAGTGGGGGCCGATGATGCTCCCTGTATCTCCAAGACGTCTGAGTCCGACTACTGGTTGAAGGACTGCCGCTAGTTGTGAGTCTGGTGGGCCATCAAGGCTCCGCTGAACCTGCTGCATGTGTCCAGTCACCACTTGAAATACGGAGGATCGGTGGCTGAGACAAGGTGCAGGAGCTGCAATGGACACATTGAGACACAGGAGCACTGCCTCAGTGTGTGCCAGGCCAGCATGCCAGCAATGAAGAGCCGTCACGAAAAGGTCATGGGGCGTCTAGTCGAAGCAATCCTTGATTCCCGACGTTACTTGCCCATGTGAGCGCCCTGAAAACATGGAGGCGGCAAGAAGGCACAACTGGCAAGTACGCAGGGATCAAGGAACGGTTTAAGAGCAAAGGCTATCAGACAAGCATAAACGCCTTTATCGTGGGGTCACTGGGGACATGGGATCCAGAAAACGATCACTTCTCTCTGCCTTGGAAATTGGTCGGAAGTACGGAGCCCTGTTCAAAAAGCTCTGTTGCCGTGACGCCATCACCGGCAGTTACGAGGTGTGGGCCGCCTGTCGTAGGCGGCAGCAGCTCCAGCAGAGTACCAGCTAAATCCAACTGCTCTAAAAAACCAGCCTTAACTCTGGCGAGGTGCTTGGTCCCCTCATGGCCTCTCACTCACAACCCACCTGTCAAGAGATGGGTGAGGCCCCCATCCGCAAGGGTGACCTGGGCTAGTTGTGGCCCGGGTTGGGCTCCTTTTATTGTGAGATCCCCCACATCTCCGATGAAAGAAGAAGTCACACTGTTCTTACTAGTGTAATATCTGGTACGTGGGCATTGCCCGCTCGATATTACACCAATTAGTTTTCTCTCGCAAGGTTCCTAGGCCGCACACCTCCTTTCACAGCAATACAAATGCCACGGTGGACAACAAAACCCCCTCTGCATCAACAACACACATCAGAGACTTCAAAAACCTCCAGACATCTAAGACGCCCAGACACAAGACACCCTCCACAAACAATCCAACATTCTACAAGGGGAAAAATCATTTCTTCAAAATGAAGGGGGTTGTAGGGATGGGATACCAACAAGAAAGATGCTTCAGCTGAAAACAAAAAATTAATCGTACATCCATCCCTACATCTTTCTTTCTTTAGCTCTGTCTAAGAATGTGTAGGAACTCGTTATTGGCGTAGGTGAACTACAACACACAGTTGAGGTTGTGAGTAAAGAAAGATGTAGGGATGGATGTATGATTTTTGTTCAGCTGAAGCATCTTTCTTGTTGGTTCCAGGCGTTTTGTACGCGGATCACGTGAGATTTCACTTGTGCCATCCCTACATAGAGCATCTACCAACGCTCCGATACTACACACTCCTGACCCCCCACCAGTCATCCCACACCACCCCACCCCACACACACTCCTGACCCACACTCACCAGTCACCCCAACCAACTCCACACACACACACTCCAGATTTTTGCATTATAAAAATGTTCATGCAGGTACATGACTTCATTTGTCAGCTCATTTTCTTGTCAACTGTTTGTCCGAGAGTCTTGAGATGGTTGAAGTGGCAGTTGATGGCCTCCCAGGCAGTGTCAATGTGGTGGTATAATATAGGAGAGACCAAACTCCTGGCAGGTCTGCTGGAGGATGGAGGTTATGATGGGGTAGTGGCCCTGGTTGACCCCAGGGAACAGGTGGTGGGCAGTCTGGTGGTTCAGAGCTCCTGTGAACACAGTCCAGAACCAACTGTCTGTGTAGTCCTGTGCGGTAGGCACCTGCATCTCTGCCCTGCGTGGATCAACGAAACTCAGCCTTTAGTCAATACAGCAAGTAGAACTTGTACTTGTGCTGTTTTCTCGACTCACCAGTCCTGATGGACCGTCAAATCTTTTGGATCCGGTGTAGGCCACTCAACCTTTCAAAGTGTCCATTGTTCACGTACGATTCCTAATTACATTTTATGATTACCTCACTGACAACATGAGAGGCTTGGAAAGTGAGGGCAAGCCAGTAGCTGAAGACAAACTCCATGGCAATATTGTACAGCAGCTGAAACAATGAGTTCGCATGTCCCGTAGTTTGAAGTATAAAGTTATCCTTTGTCTCACCACACTAGTCCAGGGTATGAAGAGCCCAGGGGATGATAAAGCGGTTAGTACAGTGGAACAATTTGCCGGCAAAGAACACAAACAGCTGAGTGTTTGATAGTTGGTTCATTCGAATGTTGGCTACACAATTTGTGACGAGATTACAGCTAACGCTAGCACACTTAACAGAACTAGTACCATACCATTTTTTACTCATGTGAATTCAAGCCTTGAGTCCCAGCTACAGCAAGATGAACCGTTCTACATCATACTAAATTAATAACATCATTAACTCACAGCGCAGTACAGAAGTGGGATGTAGATGTGTTGGTAAAAGTATCTGGGCAGCCACTTCTGGCCCCACTTGATACGGCGAACATCCGTGGCAGCCTATAATAGGTTGCAAATGTCTCGAGTTCTGACGATAACTTACAGTAGCAATGTCGAGATCAGCACCATCTATGTTGGTGTAGACATGGTGCCCCAAAATGTGCTGTGTAATAATGGACAAGTGAGTAACGGTAGGGTGACCTCACCTGATTAAGCCAGACCACCAAAGAGGCTCCCTGGTAGAAGTCATGGAGACAACTGACTAGGGTCCACACCCATGGTTTGTGGGTGATAGCAAAATGGCTATAATAAGAGAGAATAATTGTGGTAGTCAAAGGATACCCGATGCAACAACTTCAAATGTGTTACCGCAAAAATGGTGAAGGGCTTTGCGTGCAGACAAACCAAAAGTATCATCTTGCAACATTTCGATCCCCGAGGGATCTTCTTCAGGCAAGTGAATATACATGCAGATGCTGCCTATTGATGTATTATAACATTGTCAGGTGACAGATGTCTTTTACCAAGCAGATGGGGGCTGTCTGCGATGGTGTTCTATTTGTGGGTGCCTACTCGTCTAGGTTGAGCCCCACAGGAGACAGAGTTCTGAGTGTGAAGATCCAATAGCTTTCTCTTTTTCTCCTCCGCAGAGTACCTTCATGGTGGATCTTCTCTATGCCTCTGACTTCTACATCTTTGTGTACATAAAATCTGCAACTTAATGTTTTTATGTGTAGTTTTGTATCCACCTTGTAGTCTGAGCCACAGATGATGTCGAGGCTGTAAAGGGTCCCGTTAACCTCGACCACTGGGTCTGAGAGCAAGTCTGCTACCTCCTTCCATACTGGGGCGAAGCAGTCACGGAGGAACTCGTAGCTCTCGTGCCCACGAGCTGATGCATAGGTGTGGTTTCCTGTTTAATTATTAGCACAAACATAATGTTACATACAACGTGATGTGTGTATTTACCAGATGCAGCAAGAGTATCGTTTGCAATAGTTGGGAAGGAGAAGGTGAGGAGGACGAAGGAGGAGGTAGCAGAGAAGTGAGTTCCATCACCTGACAACTTGGAGTTTTCTCGAGCTATAAGTAAGTAATAGTATGGTGTACGTGTGTATTGGTACACACACACACACACACACACACACACAGAAGAGTTTTAGCCCTAGCCCTATTTTACAAAGTGTGCACCCTATTTTATGTCAGAGGTACAGCATACAAAATTCAAGGTATGTAATTTTGCCACTGATCGCACTTCATACAGTGATAGGAGGAACTGTTTAGTAGCCAGCATCACCAGTCGAAATTGACAGTGGGTGAACTAGGAACACTAGAGTAGAGTGTATAAGAATGTCCTGTTGCATAAGAGTCACCCAATATATGATTTATACGTATTATACTTGACCAGAACCTAGTGTGCACGAAAACAGAATTGTCTTGCTATTGAAGGCAGTGGGATTTTCCAAGGGAATCGCTGTTTACGAATAGCATGCAGCGACGATACATATAGTCACCATGTCGATGGATGGTATGTATTCTAAAGTGAATGGGAGACTGAATCCTGAGTATAAAGAAGGTAGAGTTTTCTTTTCAAAAGTATGTTCTGTTTACTGTTCACGATCCCCAAGTGGCTTAAAATTCTCCCGAATCAAAACCTTGCAAGTATAATTTATATGTCCTCATCATAAAACTGTGCGAGAGCTGAATATCGGTAGAGGTATTATGGTCACTGCAGTTGGGATGACTCGATACAACGTGATGGCTAGTCTTTTGTCAGTTGTGGCTGGAATCGCTCTGGCTCAAGAGAAACACATCAAGTGAGCTTCGGTTCTTACATAGACAGAACTGGTGTTGTAAAATGCTACTAATTTACAGATTTGAGGCTGGTTCCTCAGACAGTTGATGTACTTGTTGGCTCTTTAGTCACACTTGAGTGCCAGGTAGCATCAGGGACACACGGTGGATCACTGAGATGGAAATTTAACAACAAGTCCTGGGGTTTGTTTGACCATCCACAGGCCCCTATGACAACAAGCCGCAATACAAATCTTGCCATCTACTCACGAAGACTGACAGCTCAGAGAAAACACAACGAATCTTTGGTTCAATGTGTTATGACTCTGAGTGCAGGACAAACCATCCACAGTAATCAGGGTGTTCTGATGGTTAGAGGTAAGAATGAATGTACCCCCAAATAAGTGTGTGTAGATTGATATGGAGAATAATTTCAGATTTTCAGGCGTTTCCTAGATCTGTCAACTCAACACTTGGAGATACTGTAGATTTTTACTGCCGTCCCTACTTCACTGGCTATCACATATCCTGGTTGATTAATGGAACTGAACTTTGTCAATTCAACAACGCTTCGGGCGTCTCAGAGCTCTCTGAAACTAGCCTGAGAATACACAGTGTCCAGCAACAGTTTAACAATACGTTTGTTCACTGTAAGATCAGCACTACCTCGATCATTAGCCCTCCAGCTATTCTTCTGATACAAGGTAATTATGAATGTGTATGTATAGCCCACACTAGCAAAAAAGAAATGAGCAAGATAAAAGAATTACCACCACCACCCCTGTCCTCTCTACAGATGCACAATACACACTGTACAAACTACACACATCATTATTCTTTATGTAGGGGAGCTAGGAGCTGTGGGAGACCTCCACGTTGCAGCCTATAGTCCAGAGTTTCTCACCATCTCCTGGACTGCTCCCTTCTCTCTAGACATCACTGACTCCCATCCTGATCTCTGGTACTCTCTCTCCATTCCCACACCTGCCGGTGGCCCCTCCACTGTCCTGACTGCCAGACTACAACTACAACTACCTTCTATAACCTCTCGCTCAGTGGTCTCTCTCAGGGACTGTATGAAGTTAGTGTCGTGTCCATCAATGCCTATCGCAGGGCTCAACAATCCAGTAAACTGCTAGTGTATCTAGTGGAGTATGAAGAAAGTGGCTGTAACACTAGTTACGGAAGCAATGCCACCAATGACACACCCTTCCTCATACCAGGTTTGCAATGAACCTGGTAATTGATAGTCTAGGTACTATACTACAATTTTGATTGCAGCAAGTGGAGAGGCAGCTACTACAGCAAATACTATTACACTATCAGGTAACAAATATACAGAGGTTTACTATGGCATGTGGTAATTAAGTTATAACTTGTAGGAGTTGGAGTCGGTGTGACAGTGGGTGTCATGGCGACAGCGATTCTGGTGATCCTAGGAGTCATATGCTGGTACCATTCAAGCAGCAGCCATTTTTGTAAGACTAAGTCATAACTTTAGAGTTGGGCAAAATTCTCTCTGCTTCAGGTAAAAGAAGGGAATTAATTAAGGAGAGGAATTTACAACGCAATCCAGCTTATGAAGGCTGGGGTCCAAAACAGAGTCCCACTGACCAGCAGAGTGCTGTGTTACCTAAAGTACGACAGAGAGGGAGGGAGCTCTCTGGTTTCACTGCCCACGCTGCCCCCACCCCACAACAGGAGACTGTGTACGAAGAAATTGCTTAAGAATTTCATGAGGAATTTACCGAACAATGTATAATTGCATTATTACACATACCTAGCTAATAGCTACTATGTCAAAAGCATGTACGGAGGACCTGGAGGCGCGCCTGCCACGGGCAGTTCCCTGGGCCGGCCAATACCCCCTATCAGAATTTAGTAAGTGAGAAGTGGAGTCACACCCATGTGCCGTTACGTTAGATATGCTATCATTGCTAGCCTTGTTGTAGGGCTATTAACAATACTAGGTTCCCATGAGAAGACCCAAGGTAAGAGCTAGGAATCTTAAGACTACTTAATGTAGTGTATAGCTCTAATGACTCAGAGCCAAGAGAGAAAAGAGAGGGAGAGGAGCCTATCGTTGGAGATTGTTACTCCACACGTGATAATGGATCCAACTTTACTGGAAACCAGACCATTGTTGTAGAAGTGGCACTGAACCAAGACTGTGTCAGCCAAAATCACTGCGAATGTAAGTGGTTGGCTCTCCGGCTGGTCTTACTTGCGTACCAAACCTTAGCAAAACTGTGTCACCGAGCTCTACGCTTTCACTTGAAATACCACCAGCAATTGTAACAGCTTCATTTCTGACAGTGACCTGCTCGTCTGTACTGAACAAAAGTGATTTACACTTCACAGTCACTGTTGGTATGTTAATGTCCGTGCATTGTGGTCCCTTAGAGTTACTGTTTAACTATTTAGGCTCTATCTCAACAACTGGACTTGGCTACATCACTGAATCCACTGGCAGTGTACAGTCAAAGTACAGGTAAGTTTTACACAGAGTATCAGAGCACAATTCAAAGTTAATGTTAAAGGATGCACGAACAGAGTAGGAAAGCAATGGCTGAGTGGAGTATAGCTACTGTGTCATAGAAGAGTTGTTTGAGGTTTGTCTTGTCTTGTTTTGTATCGTGTTGTACCCTTACCTGCAGAGTTGCCCAGGTAATATATAGCACAGCTCGTAGACTGCTAGCTTAGAGAACAGAGTTTCATGGGTTTGAACATCACCTAGGGCTCTCTTTTTTCAGAATAAAGAGTTCTCCTGGATGCAGTAGATTTGTTTGCCTTTGTGTTGCTTTTGCCTCGATCGTTGTTGACACATGGTAGCTAAAGATGTTTTGTGATCACCTTCTTCAATGGCTTGCATTACTCCCTCAACTATTGCTGCGATCATCAGCTCAAAGAAAGAAAATTATTCCCATGGATAGAGCTGTTGCAGATGGGGTGCATATATATGCACTGCCTGCTTTCATAATATACTAAGTATATGCAGTGTCCGCAGACATAATTATGCCTCGCACAAGCAAATGCTGAGGAAACCAAAATCAGTTGGGTAGCTATCAACACAATAGTGAAAAGGAGTCTATGACCTTTTTGTTGATGTGATAATAACAACAGAGAAAATGGGCTCAGTTATACCAGCAGCACGCTTTTTCTTGTGACTGGTTGGAGCGTGCTTTTTGTGACTAGTGGTTAGTCTGTTGTGACTGTTTCTTGTGAGGTCTAGCTACATCGGGGGTTTTCCGGATTTAGGTCACTGATGGTTTTTCGAAAGCTCGTTAAATTGCTTGACGTTGAAGCATGTTTCAGACAGAGAACTGCTCTGACCCAAACCCTAAACATTGTGTCATTATTCATTTCACACACTCACAGAGATTGACATCACTTGCATCAGAGTTTACTTTTGATCCACATTGCAACAACTATGTATTAATGGTATCGGTCATGTTTACATTCCACAGAACACAGACATCATCTCCATCACGTACTACCCATACTGTGGCACCGACTGTGACTCCGACACCAATCAGGTGGCCGTGGATTCTCACTTAGCAGCCACAGCCACGTCATTGTTTCAGTTGCAGTGGCTTTAATCTTTTTTATTCGTTTGCTGCACTTATAAGAGCATTCGGAAGAAACTCAAGTGCTCTGAAAGAATTATTTTTTGCAAGATTGCGTTTTGTGAAGCAACCGAAAAGCACTCATGTGCAAACTGTCGGCGAACTGCGCATGCGCGATGCCGCTATTGGCTAGCCGGTCTTCCGCTCGCTCGCTAGTAGTTTGCGGAGAGTCTGACACGGGCTAGCTACAGTAGCAGATACTATAGCATGCGGAAGTCGATATATACACGCCCTTCGTTGTGACTTCTGGTGCCTCCAATGTACGCAGAGCAAGCGCATCTGGTCGAGGTAAGCCTATGCTAATTTGCAATTGGCTTGTTCACTTGCTTTACACGCCATAACTTTGAACGCAGTATTTTAACGAAAATCGCCAGTTTTAAAATCAAGCTAATGCAGTGCCGAGCCTGTTGACGGTCTTGTTGCGCCTAGTGGCAGAAAACGGGAACGGACACACACACAGACCAAGTACTGTAACCCTCGCTGCGCATGCGCGCCGAGGGTTAATAATAGTTGACAAGTGAAGTGAGCCTATACTAGTCGCCTGAGCTGGCTGGTTTACATCATCAGTCACAACAGGGCACTGTTGCATGTCGCACCACCCTATAGCTTCAAAATTAATGTCACAATCGCGTGCTGCACGCATGCAACTCTTCCGTTCACTAACCAGTAAGGGTGCATGTATAATACACGTATTCCACTTCTGTTAGTTCATAACAGTATTAAGTTTGTAGTTACTTCTCAGACAGAGTGCTAAGACTATATACTGCAGTGAACTTTTTGTGATCAGCATAGCTATATACTTCTTATAATATATGTGTGTGAATTCTGATCATGTGGTACGTTTGTTAAAAGTAAGGGATAAAAGTATATACAAGTCTTGAAAAAATTTTTATGGTACAGAACCAAAACAAAAAGTGATAACTAAAGGTATCAGTTACGTGTTGGCACCCTCCTGAGCATGAGTGGACCACAGTTAAGATGGCTGACTATCTGACATTGTTGCGCATTATCTTTTAGACTGTCTTGCACTTCTTTCATGACGGTTGCAGCAACATTCTGGAATGAGTCGTTCATCTCCCGCAGGGCTCGGGCAAGCTTGGGCATCCATATGCTACCGCGATTACTTGCATACGAGACATGATGGGGAATGGTGGCATAGGCAACGCAGTAGTTACCTTCAACATGTTGCACGCCTTTTGCGAAATATACCTCATCTGAAGATTTTGCAACCTGGTTTTTATTTCCGCCCTTCTTTGTAAAGAGTATCTCACCCCCGCGACAAGCGTCGATGAAGAACAGTTTTGGAACGTATTTGACACCCGCGTGCCTTGTGAGAGGAAAAACAATCTCGTCCATGAAGTCGATTATGCCACCGTCATTGGCATAGAGTTTTTCAGCTCGATCCACTGTGTCCCCGTGGCCGGAAAAGGCAAACACGATGACTTTTTCTCCTTCAGCCTGTTTCGGTACGTTGTACCCCCTTAGCTCATCGGATATTTCCTTTAGTAGCCTTTTCATTTCCTCCTTGGTTGGATTCTGCATTTCGCGGATTAAGTAGCCGAGTCGGTTGAAAGTTTCTCTCATTTCTCTGGCGTCTTCTCTGGTTCCCAGCAGTGTCTCCTTGGTGTCATTTCCCTCGTAGTCACAGGCTACCAGAATGGCTAGACCTGGGCTATCAGCAAAGGTTGTACCTATAATGCAAAAGAGATAGCGAATTTAATGAAAATTTCACTTTTAAGCAGGTACGACTAACTGTCCCTCAGAACTGTAAGCAGGGTGTGTGTTCATGTAATGCCATTATGCACCTAACTACTTCATTCTTATGGAGGCTGTGGACAGTGGCGCTTGCTCCTACTCTATAGTAGTTTCTTTTTTTACCTGTTGCAACTTGCCCATAGTCTTCCTTGATCACACCAGGTTCACTCTGGCCTAGAAAAACACGAAGCATATGTACACACAATGCTAACTGCATCCAACCCAACAACACCAATAATGCTATTGAAGGTCCCCCTATATAATGCAGAATCAAGACATGACAAAATAATGAATGGTCCTTACAGAGAAATGCTTTGTTACACCTTACCCTGTTTAGGGTTTAGTTGTGAGGGTGGCTTTGAGATGACTTCGTCATCACCAGCAGTATTGCCTGCAAACGCCGTACCATGGAGAAAGGAGCACTCGAGATGAGAGGAGCTCTACCTAATGGTCACATTACCAGGAGTCTTAGGTCCAGCAATGTGATTTGAGGAAGAATGTGGGAAATTAGTTGCTTCCACTCTCCCTGCTAGCCCTGATTTTCCAACCAAAGGATCCCTGAGAGCTTCTATAAAGAGCCTCCACGTCGGCGTGGGGCTCTCTCTACTCAAAGAGGCCATAATGACGTCGTAGAGTTGGTCCTTCGGAGAACGGTGCCCGTTACAGATGGCATCCACCTCGTAGGGCTGGAGATTCAGTGCTAGACCCAACGAGTGGGCGTCGTTCATTGCCTCCAGCAGTTTCCCCATTACTTTCCTCGCATCACCGGGTGTCAAAGTGTCGTCGATGCCAACTGAAGAAAATGCACTAGCTACATAATTGTGTTGCTCTCCCTTACCATAATAATGCAGCTATTATACCTGTAGCCATTGAGCTCCTTCTCAAACACACACGGCTGACTGAGGGGTGGAATAGACCGAATGCCGTCCGCAGGGCAAGCCGCGCAAAGGGGGTTGCCGCCCCCCACCGACGACAAACTCACGTGCCTGTGGCGCATAAAGTATAATCATCTCTCTTTGATGCTATGTGAATGCAGTACGAAGAAGGGGATAAGATATGACTGTGAGTCAGTCGTGTGAACATCTCACAACAGCCTAGCTACCCAAACTTCACAAGCAGTCTTATGAATGCAACCTAATTTGCTATTGCAGACCCACACCAAGCTTTTATGGTGTCAACATTGTCATGTGACGGTCCCATTTCTCCTCTTGTATTTACTTTAAATATTCCTTAGCACATATTACATGTAGATAATAGCCTGTTTCTTTCAGGAATCTGATGTGCAACACTCTTGCGCAAACATTTTCAAAAAGTATCTAGTTATCAAAATGTTACTGACAAACAAGCAACAAGTCGATCTATAAGGGAGCATCACTACAATAATTATAGCCAGGCAGTGGGGGGAAAGTCTGCATAACTGTAAATTCATTACGTTTTTTAACGTGAGTGACTGGTAAAAACACTAGCTACAGCCGCTTAGTAGTAGTTTTCTCTTCAGCACGTAAATTATACTCTTCAGTATATTATAAGCCTAGCTTACTATCTTGACATCATAATATGTTAACGTAAGTTCATGCATTTGCCTCATGATGTGCACATTCTGCAGCTTCAACAATGGACCTTCCAATGTTATTCAGAGGCTGTACAGAGGCATCCAATCAGTACTTGGCACTCAATAAAGACCCGTGTACTACCCATGCATAGGTGGCCGCCACACACACCACCCCATTTCTCAGGGCATGCACACTATGTTTGTGCAGTGTGCACTGCATGCATATCCACCTCCGAATAGCTACACTCTATGGGAACATACCAAAATGTTATTGACTGCAACTGACAAACAAGCAACAAGTAGATCTATAAGGGAGCATCTCCACAATAATTATAGCCATGGCAGTGGGGGGAAAGTGGGAAAGTCTGATAACTGTCAAATTCAGTACGTTTTTGAGCGTGAGTGACTGGTAAAAACACTACAGCCGCTTAGTAGTACTTTTCTCTTCAGCACGTAAATATACTCTTCAGTATATTATAAGCCTAGCTTACTATCTTGACATCACTTAATAATTTGTCAACGTAAGTTCGTACATTGCCTCATGATATGCATAATTCTTCTGCAGCTTCAACAATTGACCTTCCAATGTGTATTCAGAGGCTGTCCAGAGGCATCCAATCAGTACTTGGCACTCAATAAACCCGTGTATACCCATGCCTAGGTGTGCCGCACCGACACACACACCACCCATGTCTCAGGCATGCACACTATGTTCTGCTAGCCTAGTGCATCGAGCATGCATGCTCTCCCACCTCCGAATAGCTACACTCAAGAGCAAAGGAGTATAACCCCTCATGCGCTAATTCTCACCACTCTCACTAATGTTAATAATGTACCCAGTTCGTGCATTCACTCGACACTGGGCAAAAGACGAGCTAGTGACATTCAGCACGGCAATATAACTGACGTTTGGGCTTAGTCTACTTTGGTATGATTTATGCCAGCCGCACGAACTACCAATAGACCTAACACACGAACGTAGCAGAGCCAGTGTCCCACTTTCTCTTCACAGTAAGCGTAGGTTCCCCTTCACACATCAGTGATTGGCAAAGCCGTTGCACCTTATGCACGTGATCTCAGCTACTCATTATCAAACACCTGCTCACCACACCTCACATAGTGCATTCACAAGCGTGCTAGAGTGCCCTCGCATAATTAAAAGCATCCGTTAGACATTAATAGTATTCAGTCAGTGAATATAGCTGATATGCAGTGAAAGTGAGAAATAACGTGACTACTATAAATAGAATACCATCATGCTTGTTCACAGATGCACATATTACCGATGCGCCGGAAGATAGGACTGCAAGCATGCTGAGGAGGAGACAGAAACATAATTATTCGCTACTATACATGATATACAGAATGCAACGCACGCCTGAGTGAGGCACTGACACCGCTGATGCCTGAGACAGATAGTTACTGAGCGCGAGGAGGCACAGAACAATGACCATTATCTGCCGAAAGTCTGGCACTCTGCAACTCGGAGTGAGGATCACGAATATTCGCGGCCATCTTTGTGCAACAAACACATCCAAAGGAGTTAGCTCTACATGATAGTGAGAGTTCTTGAGAACGAAGCCAGCCCAGGGCCGACATGGAGGGGTCATTGCTTTGAAGCTCTGAGCGCTGCAGTCCACTAGGTTAATTATAGCAAACATAAGCTGGCTAGGAGAATAGTAAGAGCTCATTTCCCTGACCCCTACTACCTCAACAAGTCATGATGTGGTACTATCTGACTACTGAGCTAATTCACCAATTACTCTGCCTGCATTTATCGATCTCATATAATATTATATGTCAGACACAGGGTCTGCTAACCAACACTACTGCTTGTGATGAGGAAGAGTTACAATCATCCTCTGAATCAAGTATTGTTACTGGTGAGCTAGAATAGCTATACATTTTGACTCCATTGTGATTTTACTCCTATGTTTACGCAGACAACCCAATTGAGGCGGTGCAGATAAGGATAAAGAAAATTACAAGGAGATTCAGTTCTATTAAATTCTCAACAATCAAATGTCTGGAAAAGTGCTCTATCACTGTGGTGCATGTTGTTTTTGCTTCTCACTGAAATCAGAACGCTGAGCACAAGAGATATTTGGAGGAAAATATGGAGAAATTGTCAAAGCAGGAAAATCAATGGAGCCTTTTTACAGAGTTAAATTTCTACTGGAGTCCTTTCTCGTATAGTATGTTGCAAGGACTATTAGAAAACCTTGTAATGATGAATCGCAACTTCAAAAATATACGGGTGGAGATGGGAAAGTACGACAAAGATGTGGAAACGTTTGCTGAAAACACACCACTAGATGAGTTTTGTCATTGTGAGGCTGCTCGCGAAATGATGAGCGACACGGTCCCCCCTCCCGATTTTCACTTGATGGTTATTGAGCACGAATGGCCCGAGACGGTTACACTAAAAAACGTTGAAGAATTCCGAAAAGCATTTTTTTTGTAAGATAGCGCTCTCAGAGTGTGCAATGTTGGTGAGCGTGCACATAGAAAAATATGTTAAGGTCATTTGGTCATCGGGGGTACAAGTCTCTGATTTCCAGCGACTAAGAAAGAAAGAAAGTACTGCAAAAAGTTTAAAATATTACAACGTTCATTCAATGGAGATAAGTGGGATGCCTGTCTACCATTCCACTCGTAGGGTTTTAATTCCACCAAATGTGAGTCAAGTGCATTTTCATTCCATTAGGGTGCGCTATACACACACCAGTGATTAATGTTGCTGTTATTTTCTATTCAGAGTGATCCCCTACCTTACCATTATAGTCCTCCTGGGCCAATCGGTCCTGACATGGTGACTTATAAAATAGTGAGTGAGTATTACATACCTATAGCTATAGAGTAATGTGAATGTAGTCAGTCCAGTTGGAAGTTTACCCTATCAATTTAAAGTGTACATCGCCTTTTATCACTAAGTACGGTAGTACTTAGTATATAAGGATGACACAGGTCGTCCTGCATTATGCCCATACATTTGAGATTTGTAAGTTTCACTTTCAGTTTCAATCAGATCCCGCTTCTGACATATCAGTCTGATCCATATTGTCAAAAAGCATGTATCCAAGAAAAAAACTTAAAAGGCAATCCGTAATTGATTTATTCAAGAAAGTCAGTTTTCAAAATTGTTGTCGTTGTTGTTGTAGTTCGGTTTCGACAAGCGTATCTCAAAAACCACGTAAGATACTGAAATACAACTTTGCATAACGATTGGAATCCATGACAGGTCATACAAGAGCGTTTTGTAAACAATGTACATTGCTTGCTCGTGTAAATCTTCCTCCACACAAGCCCTATATTGTCGCCACTTTTACTCACAACATTAGTGTGAGGACAATGGTAAATGGATTCTCTTGGGGCCCAAGAACGCAACATTGTAAAACTCATGGTTAGTTGAGTGAACACGAAGTCTTAGACTGCACACAATGCAGTCACAACCAAAAACTGAGGAGCTGTCAGACTGTGCAATACTTTCTTAGGAATTGAGTCATTCTATGAGGAGCTTACTCATGTTTTGCGACAATATAGGGCTTGTGTGGAGGAAAATTTATACGAGCAAGCAATGTCAGTTTGAAGATGTAACCATCATCCCATTATACATGCACTAGGTCATCCCTGTCTTGTTCCCTTGCTTTTTATGGCAACCCTTTATTCCACACTTTTTAAATTTGAAGAATTTTACTTGTATTGTAACGAAGTAGAAGTACATTTTGTATTGGTCTCCCCTCAGTTAAATGTGAAGTGCTGTCGTAAAAGGCGAGCACCACGTGAAATGGAGGGAGGATCTGCAACAAGTGATGGGCAGTTTGCATATTTCCTGCCGCACGGTACTCATTCTATCTTCAAGTATGAATGGAGCACAGGCAAATGGCTTGACAAGCCCCTCTCGTGTCCTTATCAGAACTCTGGACTAGCGATCGTTGACGGCGAACTGACTTCTGTGGGAGGGAAAAAGGGTGCTCTTTGCAAGAAAAATATTAAGACACGAAGGGAGAAGTGGGTTAACGAATACCCCAAGATGAACACTGCACGTGCCTCCCCTGCTGTAGTTAGTACGTCAGATGGTGGCTACCTCGTTGTGATGGGAGGGCAGATTGATAATGGTCACTGGTCTGTTAAAGTTGAGCTATTGGAAGTAGGAGAAAAAACATGGTACAAACTAAAAAGCCTGCCAGATCCAGCTCTCTCCTACCCTTCATCAACAATTAGAGACACCAAGTTGATAGTACTAGGAGACCGGTCGACTGGCTATTCGTGTTCCTTGGCTTTAGATTCAGTACCCCCGACCCTACATTGGAGGCCGCTCCCTTCTCTACCAGTGACTGCCGCAACACCTGTTCAGCTCCAAGAGGAACTAGTGATTGTCGGCGGCAAGCAGAATGGGATGCCTTACGACTCTATACACCAGCTAGTAGACAGAGTATGGGTAGAAATTTCATCAATGAAAAGTGTGAGGGAGAGGGCTTTGGTAGTCATTTCCATCTCCAGGGAAGATGATGATTGTCGGTGGAGTCGGAGCTGGAGACAGCGTCGAAGAATGTGCTATTAAACAAAAAGATAGCAAAACCACTGTTGAGGATATACGGCGTCGAAAAGATAGAAGGACACAATGCCTTTGTTATGTTAAATGATTGGCAGTTGCTACTAACTAGCAGGCGAATGCAACGCATTGCTGATGGGTGGGAGCGAGAAAGCTTACGCGGCAGAAGAGTTACATATGTATGTGCAAACGATATATATTATAGTGGGGTGCCTTTTGTTAGTATAATAATCAATGTGGGAAATTAGTTGCTTCCACTCTCCCTGCTAGCCCTGATTTTCCAACCAAAGGATCCCTGAGAGCTTCTATAAAGAGCCTCCACGTCGGCGTGGGGCTCTCTCTACTCAAAGAGGTCATAATGACGTCGTAGAGTTGGTCCTTCGGAGAATGGTGCCCGTTACAGATGGCATCCACCTCGTAGGGCTGGAGATTCAGTGCTAGACCCAACGAGTGGGCGTCGTTCATTGCCTCCAGCAGTTTCACCCATTACTTTCTTCGCATCACCGGGTGTCAAAGTGTCGTCGATGCCAACTGAAGAAAATGCACTAGCTACATAATTGTGTTGCTCTCCCTTACCATAATAATGCAGCTATTATACCTGTAGCCATTGAGCTCCTTCTCAAACACACACGGCTGACTGAGGGGTGGAATAGACCGAATGCCGTCCGCAGGGCAAGCCGCGCAAAGGGGGTTGCCGCCCCCCACCGACGACAAACTCACGTGCCTGTGGCGCATAAAGTATAATCATCTCTCTTTGATGCTATGTGAATGCAGTACGAAGAAGGGGATAAGATATGACTGTGAGTCAGTCGTGTGAACATCTCACAACAGCCTAGCTACCCTAAACTTCACAAGCAGTCTTATTGAATAGCAACCTAATTTGCTATTGCAGACCCACACCAAGCTTTTATGGTGTCAACATTGTCATGTGACGGTCCCATTTCTCCTCTTGTATTTACTTTAAATATTCCTTAGCACATATTACATGTAGATAATAGCCTGTTTCTTTCAGGAATCTGATGTGCAACACTCTTGCGCAAACATTTTCAAAAAGTATCTAGTTATCAAAATGTTACTGACAAACAAGCAACAAGTAGATCTATAAGGGAGCATCACTACAATAATTATAGCCAGGCAGTGGGGGGAAAGTCTGCATAACTGTAAATTCATTACGTTTTTTAACGTGAGTGACTGGTAAAAACACTAGCTACAGCCGCTTAGTAGTAGTTTTCTCTTCAGCACGTAAATTATACTCTTCAGTATATTATAAGCCTAGCTTACTATCTTGACATCACTTAATATTTATCAACCGTAAGTTCGTGGCATTTGCCTCATGATATGCATAATTCTTCTGCAGCTTCAACAATGGACCTTCCAATGTTATTCAGAGGCTGTACAGAGGCATCCAATAAGTACTTGGCACTCAATAAAGACCCGTGCACTACCCATGCATAGGTGGCCGCCACACACACCACCCCATTTCTCAGGGCTATGTTTGTGCAGTGTGCACTGCATGCATATCCACCTCCGCATAGCTAGCTACACTCTATGGGAAAATACCAAAATGTTATTGACTGCAACTGACAAACAAGCAACAAGTAGATCTATAAGGGAGCATCTCCACAATAATTATAGCCAGGCAGTGGGGGGAAAGTCTGCATAACTGCAAATTCATTACGTTTTTGAGCGTGAGTGACTGGTAAAAACGCTACAGCCGCTTAGTAGTACCTTTCTCTTCAGCACGTAAACTATACTCTTCAGTATATTATAAGCCTAGCTTACTATCTTGACATCACTTAATAATTTTGTCAACCGTAAGTTCGTACATTTGCCTCATGATATGCATAATTCTTCTGCAGCTTCAACAATTGACCTTCCAATGTTATTCAGAGGCTGTCCAGAGGCATCCAATCAGTACTTGGCACTCAATAAAGACCCGTGTACTACCCATGCACAGGTGGCCGCCACACACACCACCCCATTTCTCAGGGCATGCACACTATGTTTGTGCAGTGTGCACTGCATGCATATCCACCTCCGAGTAGCTACACTCAAAAGAAAAGGGTACCCCCTCATGCCCTAATTCTCACCACTCTACTAATTTAATAATGTACCCAGTTGGTGCATTCACTCGGACACTGGGCAAAAGACGAGCTAGTGACATTATGCACGGCAAATATAACTGGTTTGTGTTAGCTACTTTGGATGAATGAGCCGCACGAACTACCAACAGAACCTAACACACGAAACGTGAGAGCCAGTGTCCAACTTTTCTTCACAGTAAAGCGTAGTCCCTTCACACATAGTGATTGCAAAGCGTTGCACCTTATGCACTGTATCTAGCTACTCATTATCAAACACCTGCTCACCTCTACATAGTGCATTCACAAGGTGCTAGAGTGCACTCTCATAATTAAAAGCATTCCGTTAGACATTTAATAGTATTCAGTAAGTGAAATAAGCTTGATTAGTGAAGTGAGAAATAACGTGACTACTATAAATAGAATACCATCATGCTTGTTCCAGGTGCAACATTACCGATGGCTGAAGGTAGGACTGCATGTTAGGAGGAGAAACATAATTATTAGCTACTATAATTATATACAGCACCTGCCGGAGATGAGGCACTGACACCCGCTGATGCATGGGAAGATAGTTACTGAGCTTGAGGAGGCACAGAACAATGCCCATTTCCTAGGTCTGGCACTCGAACTGGAGGATCACAAAATTCGGGCCATTTTTGCAACAAACCATCATCCAAAGGATAGGCTCTACAATGTTATAGTTGAGTTCTTGAAAAGCCAGCCCAGGCCGACATGGAGGGTCATTGTTGAAGCTCTGAGGGATCCAATAGTTAACCAACATAATCTGGCTAGGAGAATGGAAGAAGCTCATTTCCCTGACCCTACCTCAACAAGGCATGATGTGGTACCTACGACCTCTGGTAATTCACCATTACTTCTGCCTGATTTATCGTCTCATATAATATTATATGTCTGACACAGGGTCTGCAACCAACACTACTGCTTGTGATGAGGAAGAGTTACAATCATCCTCTGAATCAAGTATTGTTACTGGTGAGCTAGAGTAGCTATACATTTTGACTCTATTGTGATTTTACTCCTATGTTTACGCAGACAACCCAATTGAGGCGTTGCAGATAAAGATAAAGGAAATTAGAAGGAGATTCAGTTCTATTAAATTCTCAACAATCAAATGTCTGGAAAAGTGCTCCATCACTGTGGTGCATGTTGTTTTGCTTCTCACTGAAATTCAGAACGCTGAGCACAAGAGATATTTGGAGGAAAATATGGAGAAATTGTCAAAGCAGGAAAATCAATGGAGCCTTTTTACAGAGTTAAATTTCTACTGGAGTCCTTTCTCGTATAGTATGTTGCAAGGACTATTAGAAAACCTTGTAATGATGAATCGCAACTTCAAAAATATACGGGTGGAGATGGGAAAGTACGACAAAGATGTGGAAACGTTTGCTGCAAACACACCACTAGATGAGTTTTGTCATTGTGAGGCTGCTCGTGAAATGATGAGCGACACGGTCCCCCCTCCCCGATTTTCACTTGATGGTTATTGAGCACGAATGGCCCGAGACGGTTACACTAAAAAACGTTGAAGAATTCCGAAAGCATTTTTTTTGTAAGATAGCGCTCTCGGAGTGTGCAATGTTGGTGAGCGTGCACATAGAAAAATATGTTAAGGTCATTTGGTCATCGGGGGTACAAGTCTCTGATTTCCAGCGACTAAGAAAGAAAGAAAGTACTGCAAAAATTTTAAAACATTACAACGTTCATTCAATGGAGATAAGTGGGATGTCTGTCTACCATTCCACTCGTAGGGTTTTAATTCCACCAAATGTGAGTCAAGTGCATTTTCATTCCATTAGGGTGCGCTATACACACACCAGTGATTAATGTTGCTGTTATTTTCTATTCAGAGTGATCCCCTACCTTACCATTATAGTCCTCCTGGGCCAATCGGTCCTGACATGGTGACTTATAAAATAGTGAGTGAGTATTACATACCTATAGCTATAGAGTAATGTGAATGTAGTCAGTCCAGTTGGAAGTTTACCCTATCAATTTAAAGTGTACATCGCCTTTTATCACTAAGTACGGTAGTACTTAGTATATAAGGATGACACAGGTCGTCCTGCATTATGCCCATACATTTGAGATTTGTAAGTTTCACTTTCAGTTTCAATCAGATCCCGCTTCTGACATATCAGTCTGATCCATATTGTCAAAAAGCATGTATCCAAGAAAAAAACTTAAAAGGCAATCCGTAATTGATTTATTCAAGAAAGTCAGTTTTCAAAATTGTTGTCGTTGTCGTTGGCAGGGTGTATTGGAGCACCTCAAGAGTGTTCATTACGCTTAAGTAGGTGTTTACAAACACTCTTGGGGTGTAGAGTAAACCATGGCACATTCTAGTGCTCACCACAACACCTAAGGGTGTAATCCTACACTGACCCATCACCTATATCACAACTTCCTTTATATGCCTTGTGCATTGTTGTTTGTTCATAGGACGCAATGTCAGAAAATTTCATCATCCCATATCACATTCTCTTCACTGTTTTATTATTGTTATTGTTTCACACACCGGTAGGTGCAAGAAAAAGAAAGTGATTAAAATTAAGAAGAATTGATGATGGAGATAAACTTTGATCCTCAAAAGGAAAGTGAATACCATGAAGATGTCTTTAGAGACATTGTGCATCATAGTCACTGTAAAAAGTTTAAATGAGAATGAGAGTAAACAGACGAGTCACACCCACTGCGCATGCGCGTAGAAGGTCATGACCTTTACCATCCTGCACGCCCACGTACACCGGTGGTTAGTGTGATCATGTTCGCGCTCATTTTCAAATGCAAGAAGTAGACTATCTCTAGCTCTATGGCTGTGTTTTTGGCGACTCTAGCTACAGTATTTAAAGGCTTTCTGGAGCCCAAGACCACCATCAGACGAATACCATGGCTACGAAGGCCGCGATAGAAGATTCGATGTAGCGTCACCCCGTCGAAGGAAACGTAAGGACTGATCATAGCTACGTAGCTGCTAAGGCGGCACTGAATTGTTTTAGACTCCAGCTACTCCGAGCCCAGTATCACAGCCAGCAGCAGCAGCACCAACGATGGGTACTACAGCCTGGGTTAGTGCTTGTGTTCCTGACGTTTTCTCCAGACGGATGCGTGAGGGAATTGAGAAAGGAGAGAGTGCGAGCGGCCAGCATGTATAACTTTGTTACTTCCAGTACCAGTATGGCAGTCGAGGGGAGGGAAGATCAGAACGGTAGGGCTGAAAGTGAGTCATGCAATCGGTATTTTCAAAAGAATTAACAATGAGTAAGGAGTGGTATATAAAAATTGTGGTGTGGAGTGGTATATAAAAATTGCTGAAGAAAATTGACAGGATTTATTGATATCTGCCAAGATCGGTAGAATTATATCTTTGCGTCACAAACCAATAGGGATGCCCTTTCAAAGTAGCAGGAAGAAGTCAATTCATTTCCTTCTGATGCATAATGGTGAGCATACATGGTACTGTACACCTTCTCATATTTCAAGTTGGTCAAGTGAGTGTGAAAATATAATTTATATGCCAGTGTGTATAGTGGTATTGGAGGTGCATGCATACATCTTTCTTCCCACTTCCCAGAATTACAGCTGCTGCATTCTTTGGAGCTTACTGAGCTGAGCTTTTGCTTGCTACTCAAGCAAAAATATCACTTGTGCGTCATGCATCGGTTTTCTGTAAGTCAACATTATATATAATATCATGTACATAACTATGGACGAACTGTTGTTATAGAATGAGCCTGACCTTGATGAGGCTGTGAAGAAAATCACTGAAAACCATGGTTACATCTCTGTGGTTACTTCTGACAAAAGGACTCTAGCATCATTAGATAATATTAAACAAGTCTTTTTTTTAATAGCTTATGCTCTATATTGTATCATTGTTCTTTGTATCTCATGCTCTTTTACTGTGAAATACTTTTGTCACTTGAACAGTAAGAGCAATGGCGCTACTGCAACAATAAACAGCGCTCTAGAGCACCAACTGCGTGTTATCGAACACCCTATGAAGAATTGAAGCAGCACCTAATGCATGTTTATGAAGACCCCAAAGGGTGTATTGTAGCATCAATAGAAAGGCTAAATAGCACTCTTATGGGTGTACATTGCCCCAGAAAGGGTGTTCCTGTACACTCTTATGGGTGTACATTACCCCAGAAAGGGTGTTCCTGTACACTCTTATGGGTGTACATTACCCCAGAAAGGGTGTTCCTGTACACTCTTATGGGTGTACATTGCCCCAGAAAGGGTGTTCCTGTACACTCTTATGGGTGTACATTGCCCCAGAAAGGGTGTTCCTGTACACTCTTATGGGTGTACATTACCCCAGAAAAGGGTGTTCCTGTACACTCTTATGGGTGATAGTTAACACCAACCCTAACACCC